TTTACTTTGGTAATTTTTGATAGTAGATATTACTATTATACTGTAAAATGCTATTGACAAATGTTGTTGTAGTTTTAGTTAATACAACTAAATATTTCAAATGGCTATCGCACATTTTTAAGAACAGGAACTTTGTTAAATATACATTATTAGGTGCGTAGTCAAAGAATGGGATTGGACCAGTCTAGGTCTTAAAGCTTTAAAAAGGTGTTAAAAAACTCAATATGTTAATCCTCCCTTTCACCACATCCCAAACATGATTCATCAGACTGAGATCTGCCGATTATTCGTGCCATTGGATTACTGTGAAATCCATCTAAAGCCTGATCTGGCTGGATGATCCATCAAAAGAATATACTATGGTCATAAGGGGGTAAACAAGGTCTGAAACAAAAATAAGGTAGGCTGCAGAGTATATTCAATGCTCAGCTGGTACAGAAGGGAGGATAGCATTTTTTTATGATCCCCAAACTTTTTCTCTAGAAATTAAATGTTTTCCATTTACCGTTCAGCAGTTGAAAGGCTCAGTCCAGCCTGTCTGGCTTCAACAACTTTAAAATTTCAGGAAGTCCTCTTCACCATCTCTAACTGACTGAATGGATTGAGTTTCTGTTCATGTAGACAACATTTCTACCTAATAAAGAGGCCAGTCAGCGTATGTCTAAGCATTAACAGCAGGGGCGGAACTAGATGGGGGGCCAGGGGTAGCCAATCATTAGCCATCCCGTGGCCACCCCTACCATTTTTTCACCTCTAATACAGATGGTTGCAGCAGTAATACTCTCAAGTGGAATATTCTAAAGATTTTTTTTTTTTGTGGTTAATTATACACATCAATATACTAACATCAGAGATGATAAGTACAGAATTCATGCTCTTTTCAGAACTAGATATTGTGTTATTTGGAGTAAAGAGAAAATTATGTGTCTCTGCAAGTCATCTGGGAGTCTTCAGTGAAATCAAAGACAAATAACAATTTTAATAAACTATATATAAATATATATATATATATATATACATACTTATCAAATAATCAATTATTGCAGAAATTAGTGCTTGTAAATATAAATTTTATGCAGAATGTTTATTGATACAAGTAGATAAGTAATAACAATGGAAAAGATTTACGCCCCAGAACTCAAAACTGAAAGTTTTATGCACTATACCTTTTATCTAGAAATGAAGGATGTTCAAATATATGCATCGAATTGTTAGCAAAGGCTGCAGGAAAATATACTTTGTCTTAATTTAGAAAATATGGATGTTTTGCTCCTTAATTTTCCTGTTAGAAAATTGTAGATTAACCGTGAGATCCTGGTGCCTATCCGCTTTCGGCCACCCCTCAGTGTACATTAGTTATTGCCCGGCCACCCTTATAAAAATTTCTGGCTACGCCTCTGATTAACAGAGCACACTGTAATAAAATAAATAAAATTAAATATATTTTTTTTTTCAAATGTAGTGTCTCAATCCTATAATATAATCCTACAGAAACATGAAACTCTAAAAAAGGTAGATGGGTTTTCTTTTTCCTTCATCTTCAGTGTACCCATCTCTACCGTAATACTCCTAATACGTTTTCTTGTAACGCTTTTGACTGCAGAAGTATTCACGCGTCTTTTAATCAGCTGTTTTCTTGATCAGTTTTGTCTCAAACAGAAAGATATACTTCCTCCATCAGAGGCAGGGAAGAAAAAAAAGTCTTATCAGCCTGACTCGGCTTGTTAATGCATGTGGCAACAAATACCACTTAATGTCAGACTGCGGCTTCCGCATAAGTTACATACCAAAGATGCTGAAAAGCAGGGGGAGACAGCAGAAACACTGCTTATTAGCTCAGCGTCATTTAGAAGCGGATACTGCAATCACTTCCGCTAAATGAGCACAGCTCCAAGATGTGAAACTTGCTATAAACCGAAGCCTAAACATATCATATTATCAATAACACATAAAAATTAAAAGATGAAGTTAATAACCATCAGAAGCCATGGTTACAGTGATTAAAAAACAGAATAAATAAAAATACAACTTTATAACTATCTTACTTTTGACTTAACCACAAAAGTAGAACATTGTATATTTAAAAAAAAAACACAACACAGAGGTAATAACTCATCCAAAGTGACAAAAGTATAAAAACAGTGTATATTAACACAATGTAGGGCTAAACCACAGCGTAGTTTTACAAACTCAATTACTGATAAAAACATATTCACACGCTTTATCTGTGCAAATACTCTGTCCTTCTGCTAGCTCTTTATTTCAAATCCCGGAGTGTACTAACCAATAAATAGCTTAATTTATTTTAATCTTATTATTTTCTTCAGCTTACCGTTTTCTACCGACAAGTTAGGCGTTGGTTTCATCCGGGTTTGAGAGTAAAATTACTTCGTGCGCAGCCGCAAATCACACACAATTGATTTAATGAAGAGGAACTGATACACTGCCCCCTGCTGGACATTCATGGGTATTATCTGCATTGTTATTTTTTTTATGTACTAACATTTTTAGATGTTTTTATTTAAAATGATTAATTTACAAGTTATGGAATGTGTAAAAAATGAAATGTTGAGTTTTTATGACTTAAATCATATGTTATTTGTTCAATATTTGCAACGGTGCAACAGTTAGAATCCCTCATAGAATAGGCTCCCTATAGCTCTTCAAATACATGCAAACAACTGAATGGTGAACCTGAACATAAAAACAGCATTGGTAACTGATAGGAACTAAGTTCTGGCATCATAGAGAAGACATGAGAAGGCATATATACTATATATAGGGTATAACCACAGATCTGGGTAGTTTCGGTCATTTACATACATTTTAGTTTTGATAATTTTTGGCTGGTGTTACCTTAGTCTCTATTTTTTAATAGTTGAGTGTTTTGTTGTCCTTTCTGGATACTTGTTATGATGTACATTTATCTAATCAGGTTTTTTTTTTAACCGTCTAATTAATATCTTTTATTTTCTTTTTTCTGATAGAAGAATATGCCCAGATACTTTTCAACGAAGGTTATCAAGATCCTCTTTTTCTATGTATGCTTCTGTCTCCTTGAACCCCAGTCGGCCTCAGCAGATGGCCCCTCACACTGATCCTGGTTCTGCTGGAGGTTTCTTCCTGTTAAAATTCAGTTTTTCCTCTCCACTGTCGTTACAAGCATGCTTAGTGTGAGGGATTGCCTTCGAGTCAATAAGTAGATGCAATCAACTGGTTTCCCTTAGACAGAAAACTTGAATCAATTTGACTGTATGATCTGGTTGAATTGACTCTATAAAGTACAGTACCTTGAGATGACATGTGTTGTGAATTGACTCTATATAAATAAACTGAACTGAATCTGATGTGGCACTTCTGAACTAAAGCCCCTCAAACTCTGTAAAAGTAGTGAGTTTTATCTAAGTTTTAATAAATATTATAATAATTCCTGTTTACAGTTACTGTTTTCACTTCAGAGTGATGGTAGGGCACTCCAAAAGCCCTGAACGTGCTGAATCCGACTTTGAGTGTGGTACAATTCTGTCAAACGACATTGTGGCATTTATCGCTCTTGAAAGTCAATGGAGATGAACATACCTAACATATTTTTTTGCAAGGGGGCTTGCCTAGCTCCATCTGAGATAGACCCAAGGGTATTTAAGTTGAATTACTTAGCAATTCAGCGGCAATTTCATGGTTCTGAAAGGAAAAGAGGTGCAGTTATAAATTAAAACACATCTGCTTTGGGGGAAAATACAAAATAAACTTGACAATTGCAAGAGAAAACAGGTAGGTTTGGAATTGCACAGTGCATTTAAAACAGGCAGGGCAGACTGAGGCATAAACAGTCAATAAAACATAACAAAACAAGAAAAAACAACAACACTTTACCCATAATGAGTTCAGAAGGACAGAAGAAGGATAGAATAAAATATTGATCTTTGAGCATCACAAAAAAACAAAACAAGGGAATGAAAGCGTAGCTTATCACTCACCCTGAAAAAAAAAAAAACTTGAACTAACTTCACCAAGACTTCGTCAAGACACCTCACCGATATTGTCTACTGATGGTGGTCAGAGTGCCCAGTGGCTCCTGTGTGCAGCAACTTCGCTTCTGTCAGTGTTCCCCAAAGAAGCTGTGGCTACATCTAGCTTGCCATCATCAGCACATTAATGGGCGAATGACTGAAAAAACATTGGAGTACCCTGACTTGAAAAGGTACAGGCCAATAACCATCTCGCTATTATGTTCATTAATTACCCTAACAGATTTGCTTGATTTACAGTCTCATTTTTGTAAATGCCACAACCCTGGAATTTCAATTGGTGTGAACAAATAGTTCAGAACCATTCTAACCTAGTCATTATACACTATAACTATATTGAAAATTTCTTCAATAAATACAAATATAAGAACTAATTTAAAGTTATACATGTGAACACAAATAACAACACACATTAGAAATAGATACATTTTTTAAATATAAAGTTTAGTTTCATATTCCTCTGTTGAATCCAGGGGTCTTCTGTAAAGTTTTCCAAATATATAAACAGCAGACCTTTTAGTTATCAGGCTCCTCTCCTATGGAACCAACTACCAGTTTTAGCCCATGAGGCAGAGACCCTTTCTACTTTCAACGGTTTAAAACGTCCCTTATTGATGAAGCGGAAGAGTGGCTCAAGTTATCCTGAGCTATTTCTACTGTATGCTTATGCAGTTATAGGCCAAGGCTCCTGGAAGACATAGGGGCCCCTTTTCATCGTTCCTTCTCTGTTCTCCAATTCTGCAGTATTTGTTTGTTCAATCTGGATCTATATGCTCTCTCTACTTTTTCTCATCATAGTAGCTTCATCTGGTCTGTTTCGGTTTGGCTGTGCTGCTGCCATCAACACCTTTGTTTATAGATGTTGGAGCTTGGCCTGTTTTATAGTGTAGTCCTGTTTCTCTGACTGTGACTAACCATATGTGTTCTCTTTCATTCTCTGACATGGGAGCTGGCTTGGAGCTTGTCTGCCTGGCTGTGTGTTGCCTGGACAGGGCCGCCTGTGATGCTGGTTGACAGTCACCTTCTGTATCTCTGCATCTTTCTCTATGTGTGCCTCTGATTGATTGATGGATGGATCAATTAATTGACTTTATTGATCTCACAGTGGTGAAATATACCGGTTACATCGGCTCAATAGTCAAAAAGAACATGAAGGTGCCAAAAGGAGTGAAACGTGCATGCGTCCACACACAGATAATATATAGTAATTGCACATTAGATATTGCACAAGTTATTGCCGTTGTACTGTCACATTGTAGAGTCTAATGGCAGCAGGGATTAATGACCTGCGGTAGCACAACTTATTGTACAGGGTGTCATTGTTATGAGTCCAATTCATTTTATTATTGACGTGGACATCCAGGTATGTGAAACTATCCACAGTCTCTATGTCCTGCTCCTGGATGTTCACAGAAGAGTGAGTTAGGGGTCTGTCTCTTTGAACCCAAGTCGGCCTTGGCATGGCCGCTCACACTGAGCCTGATTCTGCTGGAGGTTTCTTCCTGTTTGTCACGGCCCGGCTCACATGGCTGCAACAAAAACAGGGATGTTTTTAGCCCTTCAGAGTCATGACTGAGCGTCACGCAGCCCAAGATGTGCTTCCAGCAAGTGCTCCATCTGTCTGGTCCTCTCTCAGCTTGATTCTTGCCGATCGATTCCGGACGTCTGGACCCGACTGAACCCAGGACTGTGTTGTGGTCCTAGCTCTGGCAGGTCCCCTGGATCAACGCTGGTCCTCTCTAGTCGTCTCTAGAGCCACTGGTGCCCTGAGCCTCGGACACACCTGGCACTTCAATGACACCTGCTACCACGGTGACATGCACTGTGGGTGAAGGGCACTGCTTAAATACCATCCAGGTGGCCATGTAATCAAAAGAACCTTACAAAATCAAGGACCTGCATTGATAAACAATTACTGTCCACTTGCCTCACAGCAGGACTGTCATAATGTTAGGGGTGTTTTCCTCTCCACTGTCGCTACAAACATGTTGTAGGATCTGCTTTCGAGTCAATGAGTAGATGCTGGCAGCTGGTTTGCCTTAGAAAACTTTGAACCAATCTGACTGTATGATCTGATTGAATTGTCTCTAAAGTGCCTTAAGATGACATGTGTTGTGAATTGGTGCTATATAAATGAACTGAATAGAATCAATGAGTAGAAATTATTGATGTTAACTGGTTTAACAACAGTACATTTTAATCAGACACATTTAGAATGGGTGCCTTAAATTATAGCATATTCATACTGTAGCTGCAAACAGAAAAAACAAAGTCATATATTTGTCCTTCTAAAGTGGAAAGGAATTAGAAGGAGTTTCATAACTTCTTTCAATTTTGTATATCCATCAAATTTATAATAAATTACATCTCAGATCTTTGGCCTTGCTTCAAATAGGAATACAGAAACCCTTCGTTTTAACTTTAGGGGGTTCTAAGGCTGCTAGTATGGCCTGCTCAAAAACCATTTTAACACCTTCCTTATAAAGAGAAAGAAAAATGAAACAAAGGAGAAAGAAATGTCAGTAATGCATACAAAACTGGATTTCTTGCTGATAAATTACTAAATGTGCAGTGGAATTTTTTCTCCATACCTGTTTGACCATGGAGCACTCTACATATTTGACAGCTCCAACTTCTTGAGCCAGCTTCTTACCATCCTCTGGATAAATGGGTTGTTGTTTGTTCTTCTCCAGATTCTTAACAGTGGTTCTGTCTTCTCGCAGGTCTGTTTGGGTGCCTACTAACAGGAAAGGTGTGTGAGGACAGTGGAGAGAAATCTCAGGAACCCACTGGAAACAAGAAAACAAATAAATGCAAGATGGTGTCAGAGAAGCTTTACTCAGTTTAAGCATTGTCTTCCAGATATCTGAAGATGCTCCTGCTTTAGTTTTTTTCCTTTTGGCTGCTGCTGATTTCTTGCATGTAGATGTGAGGTAGTGTTGCAAATTACCACATCACCTTTATTTATTATGTCTTTATTATTATCTATTTTGCTGCAAATTCTCAAGAAAATTATATAAGGATTTTATCTAATAAGATGAACTGACCACTTTGATGTCAAATGTTAACACTGTCTTGAAAATTGTTTTTCAGATAGAAAAACAAATGTGGGCCAAAACAACCCAAGATACAGCAAAATGAAATGGTTCCAAAAGATTACTGCCATATAGATCCTTATAGATTAGAACAAACCCAGAAATGTACCAAGACTCTGTCACATTTTAACCTATGCCTATGAGTTATATGACTATACTGTAAAGAAATTGAATTCAATTCAGTTTATATATATAGCGCCAATTCACAGCACTTATAATCTCAAGGCACTTTACAGAGACATTTCAACCAGATAATACAGTTAACTTGGTTCAAAGTTTTCTATCTAACGAAAACCAGTTGAATACATCGACTCATTGACTCTAAGGCAATCCCTCACACCAAACATTTCAGCAGGAAGAAACCTCTAGCAGAACCAGGCACATTGTGAGCGGTGCCGAGTAAGCAGCTGCCGAGCCCTACTGGGGTTCAAGGAGACAGATGCAGACATACAGAACGAAGCAGAGAAACAAAGGAACTTGTCAACCAGCTCCACAAGCGGTCCCATACAGCAGCACAGCTGAAATTTCTCTCCAGATACAGCTACTATGAGAAAAAGCAGAGAGAGCATAACGTAAGAGATTGAACTAATAAATTGCGCAGAGTGGGAGAATAGAGATAGAATGAAGCAGAATGATGAAAAGGGGGTCCCTTTGTCCTCCAGCAGTCTAAGCCTATAGCAGCATCACTAACTATAAGCTTTATCAAAAAGGAAAGTTTTAAGCCTACCCTTAAAAGTAGACAGGGTGTCTGCTTCACGGACTAAAACTGGTAGTTGGTTCCACAGGAGAGGAGCCTGATAACTAAAAGATCAACCTCCCATTCTATTTTTAGAAATTCTAGAAACCACTAGTAAATGGGCAGATTGAGAGCAAAGAGTTCTGTTAGGGACATAAGGAACATCATGTCTCTGACATAAGATTAAGCTTTGCCATTTAAGCCTTTATATGTCAGAAGGAGGATTTTAAATTCTATTCTGGATTTAGCAGGAAGCCAATGAAGAGAAGCTAGGATAGGAGAGATATTACCTTTTTTTTTTTTTTTTCATCAGAACTCTGGCTGCCGCAAATTATAATTCTCTGATATGGATTTTCAGTGGAAATATTTATTTAATCTAATCACATTTTCATCTAACCAATACCAACATCAACATGGCTGTAGGTTCAGTCCAGGCATGGTCTACTCCTAACCCTCTCCTAAGCAGATTTATATGGTTGCTACCCACCTGGAGTCCTAGATCATTGTGCCTGTCTGCAAAGAACAGCAAACCACCTACTGTAATGAATACTCTCCTGTTGATCCCATCCCAGTCATCATTAAGTGCTTTTAGAGGTTCATCCAACATCAAGACTCAAACTCCTACTAGCGTGGACAGCCTGCAGTTTCTTTACAGGGAGAACCGTTTTACAGAGAAGGCTGTTTGGTTAGCACTGTTCACAGCTATGACTGATCTGCAGGACGCTATTATTGTTCAACATCAATGTTAGTCCTGCAGCTTTACAATTAGGGATTATCTGCATGCTACTCCCTAACTCCTGGATCAATGACTTCTTAACAGACATACTCCAGCTAGTGAGGATAGGAAAAACGTACATCTGCCTCACTTATCCTCAACACACTCTCACATAACAAGATTTGTTTGCAGTCTTTTCCTGTTGACTCGTTACTGCAAAGGTTGTGAAGCCACATATCTATCAATGATGGGAGTCACTAGAGAAGAAGCTCTCCATCTGTCTTAACTTCTCCTTAACAACCACGAGGCCAAGAAGTTCAGAGTAATCTACAGGAGATTCAGAACAATGCTCTCTGCATGCATTAGGAGGTGGTGGAGCTTCTTTTAAATGCAGACAAAACAGAAGTTATTGTATTTGGAGCAGAGGTCAAGTCTGGACTAATGTAATTTTTTATTATCAGTAAGTCCTCAGACTGTAGTTAAAAGCCTTTAGCTGATCCAAAATGCTGCAGCCAGAGTAATGATGAAAATAAAAAAGAGACACCATATTTCTCCTATCTTAGCTCCTCTTCATTGCTATTAAATCCAGAGTCAAATTTGAACTCTTCCTTCTCACGTATAAAGCCCCAAATAATCAAGCTCTGTCTTATATCAGAGATCTGGTCACTCCTTATGGTCCTAACAGAGCACTTATGCTCTCAATCTGCAGGTTTACTGGGGGTTCCTAGAATTTCTTAAAGTGGAATGGGAGGCAGATCATTTAGTTATCAGGCTCCTCTCTTGTGGAAACAACTACAAGTTTTAGTCCATGAGGCAGACACACTGTCTACTTTTAATGATAGGCCTAAAACTTTGATTATTAATAAAGCTTATACCGGTAGTTAAAAACAGAGTGATATTTGCTTTGTCCCTGATTGAGTAGAGAGGTAGGTGGAGGTAGAGCATTATGATGATCCGTTGTGGGAGAATTTCAGTCCAGACAGAAGTTTCTCCTTGACTCTACCATGGCCCTATTATACCTTATACCTCATCCAAAAGAGTCCATTATCCTGAGCTATTTCTATATTGGTGATATATGTTTGAGCTGCTCACATAGGGACCACTTTTCATAATTCTTCTTCATTCTATCTCTATTCTCCCACTCTGGACTACTTGTTAGTTCAATTTGTAACATTACGTTCTCTCTGCTTTTTCTCATCATAGTAGCTTCATCTGGTCTGTTCCTTTTCGGCTCTGACTGCATCCTGGATTAAAATATCAGCTGTGCTGCTTCCATCAAAATTCCTATTTATAATGTTGGGAGCTTGGCCTGTTTTTCAATGTAGTCCTACTTCTCTTACTGTAACTAACTGTATCTTGTCTCTATCATCCACTGACATGGGCGCTTGCTTGGAGTTCATTTGCCTGTTTGTGTCTTTCCTCGATGGGTTCACCTGTGGAGCTGATTGACAGCTACCTTTGTATCTCTGCTTCTTTTGTATGTCTGTTTCGGTCTCCTTGAACCCTAGCTGGCCTCGGCAGCAGATGGTCGCTCACACTGAGCCTGTGTCTGCTGGAGGTTTCTTCAATATGAGATCAATAAAAGTTCAGTTATTATTCTTCCTGTTAAAAGGAAGTTTTCCTCTTCACTTTCACTACAAGCATGCTTGGTGTGAGGGATTTTTGAACGGAAATTGACAAAATGCAAGCGAAAATCAACTTCCCAAGTCAGTGACTGGATGCAATCAACTGGTTTTCCTTTTAACCAATCTGACTGTATTGCCTCTGTAAAATGTCTTGGGATGAGATATGTTGTGAATTTAAGCTATATAAATAAACAAAATTTAATTGTATTGAATCCTTGAAACTTGAACAGGACAAGATTGTGTTCTAGTCCTTTCCTCTGCATGCATGACTGCAATGATTGTGAAGTTTGTGGACCAATGTGGTGGGCCAGGAAAGGGCCAGACCCATTTTGACAGATCCCACAAACCCGGGAAATGCATTGTTTGACCCAATGTCATTGGAAAAATGTTACAGGAATAACAAGATAAAACAGACTTAAAGATATGTAATTTACTCTGGATGTTTACATCTTTTACAGGTGTTTGTGTTTTTCCTGTAAGATTTTTTCTTTGTGTTTTTCTTCTGAGGGGGTTTTATTTTTTCCAGGATCTACTTAAAAAATTAAAATTTTTCTTTTTTATTAACAGATTTTATTAGCTCTGAATCAACATGGCTATTATTGATGAGAAATGGAGAGACAACAGCAGACAGAGAAAGACAGACCTAAAACCATGAAAACAAAAGCTGATGCTAAGAAACCTATGGAAAAATCTGCACTTTGGTTGAACAACTCAGATATTTTCATGTTCTGATTTAAGGTCAATAATTAACTTCTGTTGACGTGCAGTTTTTCCAATGGCTAATTATAATGATAAATTTTACAATTACTATGATAATTGAATAGATCTTATCAGTTAATTACCAGTAATTCATTACTGTATGCAGCGTTAATAGGATATTATCTGTATTATACTCTAGAACATTGATTTCACTGTAACCATTGCCCTTGATAAATGTGTTTATTACCACTGCAAGCAAAGGCACACACATATGTTTGTTTAGAAGACTTATGGTGACATTTCATTTACTTAAATCATTTTATATGGCCTAACCCAGACCCTCACCTTAAGTCTAACAATCACCAACATTTACCTAATCCTAACAAAAACCTTCAATTGAACTCCATTAATTTCTACCATGTGGGTTCAAGGCATCGGGCCTTACACGGAGCAGGCAGTGTGCTATATTTTCCAGAAAATGTGCCCCACATTGTATGAAATACAGGAACACCCACACACATAAAATATAAATTGGTATAGGCTTCTACACACATTTTTGACCTGCAACAACAAATGCATTTGTGAACAGTGTTACTCAAATGTCAGTGTGAAAATAACTGACCTTTGTTTGAACTGTTTCAAAAGATGTTGGTACGACGACGGAGAAACATACAAGAAACACGTCTGTTTTTGTATAGATGAGAGGAAGCAGTTGATCACAATTTTCCTGACCTGAAAGCATTAGCAAAAAGACAAATAAGAGTTGATTTTACTGAGAGAGCAATAAAACAGTGACAGAAAAGAAACTATTCAAGACAGTTATTGTACCTGTTGTGTCATATAGCTGAAGAAAGAAGGACTGTTCTCCAATCATAACTCTAACTGTCTGGTTGTCAAACACCTGTGAGCACAAAGAAAGCAACACAACCCAAAAACAATCTGAGAGCAGTAGCTAAATGACTGCTAATTTTATTAAATAATTTAATCAAAGCTGGCATAGTTAAGTTTCCTTACTTTTGGCACATATTCTGAGGGATAGCGGTTTGTTGTGTATGTGACCAATAAGGATGTTTTTTGAGCTGCAATGTCTCCTAGCACTACACATTTAATTGACTGCATCTATGACAAAGAAAAAATAGAATACAGATTAAAATGACAGATACACACGTAAAAATTTCTATATTCTGACCATTGGTTTTTTTAAACATGTTCATGCTGTAGTAAATTTGAAAAAATTATCTTTTAATTCTACAGAATCCGCTGGACTGTTCAAATGCAATCATGATCAGATGTTGAAAGCATTTTTTCAAAGTTCAAATGCAAGTTGAATTAATTCTCTTTGAGGTAATGATCAAGCCTAATATCTATTCCCAGATGTTGCAGTAGATCTACCTTTAGTCATTGGAATCAATATCTGGGAATAGTTTTATTCTGAAAAGGAAAACAAAAGTTAAAACAAATAGAATTGCACAATAGTTTATTTCTTACATTCATATAATGTAAAGTCGTATATTTGCAGAAAAGTATCATAAATAACAGAAAAACGTAACTTTAATGTGTTTTATTTGTCACTAGATTTACTAAACTAAATGGAAAGTACAAAAATATGCAGTTTATGTTGGGATCTGGAGATCTGCCACCTTTCTCCAGCAGAGAGCGCCCTGGGTCTCCTGAGCCGAAGCCACCTGCACACCTGAGGCTGATTCATCTCATCAGGAGACCAGCTATATAAGCAGCAGCTTGACTTCCTTTCAGCGCCGGAGTGTTGACCAGTTTTGGTTAGCAGAACCTGAGCCTCAGCCTGCACATAGAATCTCTGTCTACTCTGGAGAGTAACCCTGATTCTAACCTGCCTCTGTCTTCTCTGCCTCATAGGAAAACCTGATCGAAGTCTGGAGCTCTGGAGGAGCTCATGTTTGGAAACCTGCCTGCCTGCTCTGAGAAGCCAAACCTGAAGAACCTCAGCCTGCATCTCCTTGCCAGTTCTCTGGAGAGAACTAGGAGAACAATTCAAGGTCTGAACCTCACTAGCCTGAAGCCAAGCTCTGCCGCTACTAAGCTCTCTGCTGAACCCTCTGTCTCTGGACCCAACTGGTTTCCTCTCTCCACCGTTCAGTCTGAACCTCATCAGGTACAACTCAGTTTCAAACTCTGCCAAGACGTCAAGACTGCCTGGCAAACCAAACTGTCCTTCTATACAGAGAACTCTGTGAATCCAGTCCCGGACCTGTACCAGAATCAGTGCAACCTAATAACTCTGTGTGTTTATTCAAATAAACTGTTGAACTTTTATCCAGTCTCCTGTGGTGTTCTGCATGTGGGTTAAGTCAGTGAGACCCATCATGACAGTTTATAGTGATGATGACAACACTGAACCAAACAGAGGGACACCACAACCACCCCTGAGCAGCCCAGACAAAATAACTACAAAGTAATTACACAAATGGTTCATTTTTTAGAAATGAAGAAATTAGAATATGATTAAATAAAACTTTTATTTATCCGACACAAAGGGTAACATAACCTTTTCTTTAAAGGGCTCTACAGTAAATTACCTTACTCAAAAATACAAGATGTCCAAGAGAGATGAAGATAATGTTAGAAAAATATTCCAAAATATAGCTAGAATATAAATACTGATTTAAAAAGTCAAAAAGTCTGCTTGAGTCAAAACTTCATCCTCAGCTGAGTGAGAGAAGATTGAGAGACCATAAAGGAAGCTGCAGTGAAAAATTCTAAGCCGGTTCCAAGAAAGTCAATGGGTGAGAGGCGGGGTACACCATGGACAGGTCAGGGAGATCATTTGATTAGAGAATATATGTTTCAGGTAATGAAAACCTAAAATTTCATTGTCCATCTCTTTGGAAAAATCTCCTCCAAGTAGATCAATTTCATATCAGTTTTCTTTTTATCTTTATCATTCATGAATCATTAATTAGATGTAATAACTAATAGTTTAATATTTGGAACAATTTAATAACTTATTTTAATTATGAAAAGATTAAATGTGCATGACGTTGTTTCATGTATCCGAAACCCTTTATTTATGTAATTTTTAATGAGTATATATTACATTTAAAAAAGAAATCTAAAACCATAATACATAAGAATAATTCAAAGCCCCCTGTTAATTTGAAAGTCTCATGTTCTGATAATTTAATTGTCAATACAATCATAGAGAAGATGGGTAGTCACTGCAATCTTCCATTAGGACGGTATACAATAAAAAGTCTTTCAAAATAAGTTGACAATTGACAGATTACTGCATCAAAACCTGATTGGGAAAGTTGCGAGGATGGAAAAACTGTGGTAGAAAAAGTTGTGTCAGTAATAGCAACAACAACAGCTTTGAGAGAACTGTGAAGCAAAGGTAATTCCAGAGTTTTGGGGACAAGAAGGTGAGCTGCAGCTGGATTTAGTGTTAGCAAAAACCACCAAACACAGACATATCCTACAAGTGTTGCATAAATATGCACTGATCTGTTCCCCCTATTGAAGAGAATAACATGTTATGGCTCAATCATGCTTATGGAAGAATCCAACATTTCACACAGCAGACAATGACGTGAATCCTAAAGTTTGCAAAGACTGCATCATTTGGAAGGAGATTAATACATGATGACATCAACATAATTGAGCATTTTATTGATTGATTGATTGATTAATCAATTGACTTTATTGATCTCAATGGAGAAATTTACTCATTACATCAGCACAAATAGTCAAAAAGAAGAAGAAGGTACCAAAGGAATAAAAGGTGCACGGGGGCATATACAGTGTGTCCACATATAAAAAATAAATAGCAAATTTGTGGTTTTTATTTTTCTGATAAAAGTTATACAGGAGAAAGTATAATCAAGGTGAATGGTGAATATTTTTGGCAAGAAACCAACTGTTTGATCTGAGCTTGTCTGAATGTTTAGTAACAACATTTTCAAATACACAATTTTAAAAAAACAATAACAAGTTATTGTTTTATTTTACAGCTACCAATCTTATCATACAGACAGACTGTGTGTGCTATCTTACAAATAAATCCATTATAGATATTTGTATAATTTAAGTGAAAAAGGTTATTGGCCAAATTGTTGTGGGATGATAGGTGATACAATTCTGTCTCAAAAAGATTTTTAAACTCTACTCACCCTTTATTTCCTTGCCAGATTAAATACAAGCTCCATTCCAGTTTAAAGATTGAACTTTGGGCTCTAATTTATGGACTTTATGTTACTTGTTGCGCAACCGCACATCATAACTGGAACAAACGCTCCACCTCTTATATCCAGCAGAGGGAGATATGTTGTTTGTTTTTTTCCAATAGTACCACACACACACTACAGTGATGATGTTTAATGGGCACAATATTATTCATTTAAAACTAATAAAGTTCCTCTCAATAATTGATTTGTTATTCTTGTCTTTGGAATATTTACAATAAATCACAAAAAAATGCAAGGATAGTGCATAGAAGCTCCAATCCAATTCAATTTTACTGTATTTGTTAGGCACTTAAAAACAAACACAGCTGACCAAAGTGCTGTACAGAAAAAAATTTATTAATTAATTAACAAAGCAAAACATAAAAAAGTACAGATAAAAAAAAAACATCTAAAACATGAGTAAAAAATAATGACATTCACACAATCAAATCAATAAAATTGGGTAAAAGATAATGGGAATGAAAGGTAAAAAAAGATTAAAAAGGAAATAAAGTCCCCTGTCCTGCTAGGTGTTAAAAGCCAAGGAGAAAAGATTTGTTTTGATAAGAGATTTAAAAACAGTCAGAGAAGAGGCCTGTCTGATGTGCTGAGGCAGGTTATTCCAGAACTTGAAGCTGCAACAGCTAAAGCGCAGTCCCCTGTGAGCTTCTGTTCAGTTTTAGTATCTCTCAGGAGCAGCTGACCTGAGAGAAGGCGTGCTCCAGCATTTTGAGCCATCTGTAGGAGGCACTAACCCCCATAGAAGCCATTGCAATAATCCAGCGGAGTGGTAAAAAGGCGTTGATTACCATTTCAATGTTGGCTTGAAAGAATTTGCTTTATTTAGGCCAATCCAAAGCCTACTCATTTAATATAAAATAATAGAAATTCATTAAGCTTGAAACATTATTTGGTTAAAAGTTTTGGGCAAAGTTTAACATTATGTGTGTGCATGGATGGATGGATGGATGGATGGATGGATGGATGGATGGATGGATGGATGGATGGATGGATGGATGGATGGATGGATGGATGGATGGATGGATGGATGGATGGATGGATGGATGGATGGATCATGGATGCATGCATATTGTGCTCATGCAAGAGGACTCATTTTAACATAAATGTGTTTATTCGGTGCATTTATGGTTAAAACAATTCAGTTCTTCATTCAGTTAAGCTACTCATGAGCAGTCTGATATTTTACTCAACTAAGAGTAGCAATATTAATACTATATTTATCAAGTAATATTTTTCACACTCCCTGAAGCTAACTTTTTCAAAAGTTACCTAATGTAACTAGCTACTACCCACCTCTATTATGATAAATTAGCACTTATGTCAAAGCAATACTTCGGTTATACCAGCTATATCTTATTATAAAAGCAATAACTATATGTAAAGTTAAAATAATGAATTTCCATAAAATACATATGTGTGTATTTGCATTCTAGTACTGCATCCCTTACAAGTATGCTTATAATAGTAATGTTTGTTTCCCTTTAAAAACAAATGTCCAATTCTTCTATTAGCTCTGCCAGTGAAAACATTTTTTGTCTTACAGGGATGTTGGTAGCCATTCTCTCTCCTTGTCATCTGAATCCATGTGCATAACCCTTTTTCTCCTTCCCACTTCCCCAAGTCACATTTGTGGTGAAAAGCAAGCATGCTATTTGGACAAATTTGTCCGTGTCCACATAGGCTTTAGATCCTTTTTTAATTTCTGCTTCTCTATGTTACCATTGCATTTTTGTAACTAATTATCAATTTTGCCATGGCATAAAAAGATGACCTCTCCAAATTTGATTACTTCTGAGATGAGCCAGATGAAAAAAAACAAACATTTGACTTAACAGGCTTTGACGAGTCATACTTTTCATCTTAAGCAGAAGAAAATGTTGTTTATTCCTTAATTTGGGTTAGAGCATCTGTCAGTCAGAATAGAAAGTCTTGGTGGTTGGTGTAATGGTTGGCTTATTGATGTTTTAATCTTTCTGAAATGCTGCTGCATTAATCCCCTGCCGGAGCCTACAAATAAAGCATGCTAAAGTTTATATAGGAGTGTTGACAATGGATTTTTGAGTCACATTTGTAAGGGTGCAATTTTCAGTGGTGTAAAATACATGCATGGGTGTAGTTCTTAAGTGTACTTCGAGGTCTTAGAAGTTTTGCTGTAGCCAAATCTTTTAAAACAACATCCTTGGGACTATTCTAGGCCCTAAAAGTGAATGACCTAATTGATAAAACTGTTGTAAGGGCAGGCAATTGCTGTTAGCCAGAGATACAGGTGTAGCTTGGTAGTCCCTGGCTGCTAGATTATCTGACTGACTTGTTGAAAAAGAGTGTGGCTTTGGGCAGGAGAAATATAGCACAGGTCATTGGAACAAAGGATAATACTCGGTTTGTTCTGCGAACCCAAGTTGGCTTCAGAGTCAGACCCCAAGTAGAAGTGAGGAGTGGCAGAGGTTAGATTGTTCGCAATATATCAGTGTGTTGTGAAATTATAATTTATTAAGTGCCCACCCAAGTAGAAGAAAATGCTATTTAATCAAATAATATTTGGACAGTCATATAGTTTGTGAACACAAGCCCAACTGGCTGTGTGTTAGCACAACAAATGAAAGTGTGAATTAAGCTGAGATCTTGTTCAAACAAATAATTCTGCACATAATTGCCCACTTAATTCAAATCATGAATAAACTCTATTGATCTGACACTGAAGAAACTTACCTCTTTAACCCATTCCCTTGGGACAGATTCTCTGCAAATGTGGGTCTGTCTGATCAGCGCCCCCAGAACAGAGACGGTAGGAGTCTGTCTGTGGAAATCCACAAATTAATGACAGTAGGTAGGGAAATGTAGTTTATATAATTTGTTTTGCTTATATGTAAACACTCTAGAGAGTAAAACTGACATTTATGAGTTAATTTCTAAAAATATATTTTACGTTTCTCTCTTCTTATCAGGGAGGCCGGCCGCCACTGGCAGAAACCCAGAACAGCCTTTAAGCTAACTAGCAGGATTATGCGTCCTCCGCAGCCATGGAGACAACGCACCTCTGCGTATCATCCTTGTTGCTGAGCAACCGTATGTTTTCTGGGAAAAGCGTATCAACGGCCAGACGCGCCGTTGGACTTTTCTGGACTGGTCGAGGTAATAATGAAAAGTATTTCCAGACTTAATCTGCTCTGCATATACATTAGGAATACCCAATGCAGAAATCTAATCAATCAACAGAATTAATTTTGACTTTATATGGAAACAGAAAACACACTATATAAAGGTAATTTAATTAACAGTTTGACGATGGAGGACTACGAGCTTCGGTCTTTTTTTAACAAATATTCCAACTAAGATCTCTTCTTAGATTAGACTTAGACAGATTTTATTTGTCATTTTGTTTACACAAGTGTAAAACAAAAAGAAATTTCGTTTGGAACAGCTCTCTGGAGAATTTAATCTTTTTAAAAGTGCAGTCTTAAAAATTGTAAATATATATATATATATATATATATATATATATATATATATATATATATATATATATATATATATATATATATATATATATATATATATATATATATAAACATATGACTGTAAATTTACAGTTCTAACATTTTCTATATGTCCTTCTATTATATATATAATGATAAAATATAATAAAATACAAAACAATAACCCATTTTAACAAAACATTCAGCAGTCTAATGGCAGTGGGGAAAAAAATATTATGGAAAATGCAGATAAATAAGTAGATGTGACTTTGATGTTAAAAAACTGCCTGTTAAGCTTTCCTTCTTTCACCAGCAGGTTTTATTATAATGGAGATTAATCTATAAACATAAATATAGCCCACACAATACTCCCTTGTGGATTTTCCATTACATAAAAATGAATAATTAATCAATCTTTGCCTGTAATTGGCTAGAACAAGGTGTTTGGTCTGGTCTGTGATGCATTTATTCAACAAAGGAGGGATTATGTCTTATGAAGACTTCAGTATTAAATATAACCTGCAAATAACTAAAAGTGAATTTCAAAAAATTATTAGAGCTAATCCCCCAAATATTTTATACACAACTAAAGGTTGTTGTTTTTTTATGAGAACCCAATTTAGAGATCCTCTGTGCTACCTGGACATCTGATTAATGTATCAGAGATAAAAAAATAAAAAAAAAACTCAAAAATCGAGGAATGTTTTACTAGTACTTTGTTTCCTTTTGTACCTACCCAGATTTAATATCGCATTTCTTCTCAAAGTCTGAAAGGGTAAAAATTAGAACAAATTATTTAAATCTTACCATTCCCCCAAAACCCAATTAAGTCCACTTTATAATATTTTCAGGTGTTTACACCTCTAAGGAATTTCTTAGACTTCGATTTGCTATTGATGAAAACACCTATTTTGTGACAGTGATATTGAATCGACTGAAAATATTTTCTATAAAGTTGTGCAAATCTTAGTGGGATGACGTGCACTACTGGCTTTTCCCTAAAATTCCAAACTTACCTGAATTTTTTAAGAAAGACATTATTTTTTGGGATTCTGATGAAAAGAAACACAATTTGAAAGACTACTAAATGTAATAATCATTATGGGGAAGATTTTCATTCAGAAATGTTGTTTTCTTAAAGTCAAACCATCTTTCCCAACTTTTCACAAGGAACTCTGCCACTCTTCTTATCTTTAAAATTCATGGACTAAGAACAAGTTGCAGACCTGTATACGATAAACATTTTTTTCTTCTTGTATGTGTATTTTATTTTATTTTTATTTTATTTTATGTACATATGAAAGCAACCTGGGTCAGCTTCTCTAGGCTTTTCAGGTTTATATCTGATACCTTGTCTGTTATTTATGATGGTTATAATAAAAAAACAAAAACAAAGGAGAGGTAGTTGGAATGGAAAGCTGGAAATGGAAATCTTCATTAAGGAAGGTAGGGGACAATTGGCATCTGAAACTAGTGTCTTGTATTGGCATAGAGGCTCATTAGAGAAGATTATCCCAACAATATTAATAAGGATTTCAAAATGTGTTTAAATGCTTTATATAGATCCACTGGTATAAATGCTTTCTAAGCCTCACTGAAGTTGGTACCTATTGTTTAGAGAATAGGCTTACATTTTCTTACTACAAAAATAAACAAGTATATCTTTTCAGAAACACCAGAATCTTCCTCCTCATCCTGAATTAGTTAAAGAGGCTATTTGTCAGTGCTAGCTTACTTCTATTTGTGTTGACATTCCAGTATATTTAATTCATCATAATGCTTTCATCTTCAGTCGAACTACAATAGCGTTATATTACCCATGCATGGTATATGTGGGTGACTTCCATCTGTTTTTAATCTGATTGTTTGTTTGTGTTTCATTATAGAACCTTATAAGCCATGATGTATGGATCTGCTCTCACTCCCGGGCCTGGTAAGGAAAAAGACAGGCCAACTGACGAGAGGATCCAATCTCAGAAACCTGAGCAGAAAGATGAAGCTGTTATTGCTGGTGACAGTAGTTTGGCCCTGAGGAACAATATGCTGCTCCAGGAAGAGGCTGATGATATAGTGAGACAGACAATGGACGAGCTGCTAAGCAATGTAATGGAAAGGTGTTATGAATTAGACATTAAGAGACAGGTAACAATTCATATTGTTTCAGTACAACCAGTCAGCAACTTAATCTTAACAATACATCTAATACTTGCTTAAAGGTTGTTTTTTAAAAACTACTTTTAAACTGATCTATTCAGAATTCTTATTCTAATTCTTTGAATATCTCTGTATGTTGTTTTTTTTGTTGCTCTTTTTCATTAAGCTTGTACCCTACACTTTATGCTGGGCCAAGAACTACCTCATAAACTCTGTTGAGAGCCAAATCCAACACTTGGATGAAGGGGAGATGCCAGAAGAGTTGTGTGAAACAGAAGACTGTGAGCCTCTGCCAGCTATTCCAGATTGCTGTGCCCAAAGATGTGTGCCAACAATATATGTAGGAACTTATTTCACCTCCCAGCAGGTAAAGCGCTATCTGTGAAACTGTTCTTTGGTTCTGTTTTACAAAAACTCTTATAAAATTACACCTTTATTTACATTTCCAAGATTTAGTGGATCTGAAAATAATCTCTAGTCTAATTTTACATTCTGTGACTCTAAAGCACTTAGCTTCACCGTATTCATGTGGATTTAGTGTGATAGACCACACAAACTAAAACATTGTGGAGCTTAAGAGTAATTTAAATGTATTTTATTTCACAAAAGGAATGTATATCTTTGGTTTTACCTGTCTTTTCTTTGATGCCTTAAAATAAAACATTTTGCACACAAGTATCTTTCAGAAATATTCGGATTAGTGAATAAATGTGACCTGTTGTAATTACACATCCAGCTGTTCTGTGAAGGCCTGTGAAGTTTTTTAGAGAATAGAGTTAATGGATAAACAACATCATAAAGATCAAGTAACACAACTGAAAGGTCAGTGATATATAAAGTTGCGAAAAAAGGATTAGGAAAAGAGCCGTCATAGAACTACCGTATTTTCACAACCATAACCACCGTACCAAAACACCGTACCAAAAGGCGCAGTCTCAGTTATGTGTGCCTTTTCTGTATTTAACACACACATAAGGCGCACCGGACTATAGGGCGCGTTTTTTATATACAGGTTGATGTCCTCTACTACGTTTAAATACCTCTACTGCTTATTTAAAAATAGAGCGGGAGCAAAACTGAGTATGACTGTGCTTTATTCATGTATTTATTACAAAGTATTAAACAAACCTGGGAGCTGACCGTGAGACAGACACATCGCAGATGACAGAGCGCTGTGGTCACTCCTAAATTAACTTAAAATCCTGAAACCTGCTGACGGGATATGTCTGCTTTTATTACCAGTATCCTGGTGCCTGCAGTTTAAATTATTTAGATGAAAAACACCTGCCAGCCGCCGCGGTAAACCCGCGGCTACCCGGCCCAGAGGCTGCTGTTGAAGGGATTCCTACTGTCGGCGCACCGCTGGTATTTTGGGGGTCTGAGCGCCTCCGACAGAAATAGTATAGGCAGGATGATAATCTGGATGAACTGCCTGCAATTATGAAGTTTTCAGGTGGACTTTCTCACTTAAAAACATATTAAAACTACTTTATTCCCACTGATCACATCAAATATAGCTGCAACATTTAGATTATTTCGATGAAAAACACCTGCCAGCCGCCGCGGTGAACCCGGAGGCTACCCGGCGCAGAGGCTGCTGTTGAATTAAGTTTTCAGGTAGAAAAATAGAGCGCAAGCAAAACTGAATATGATTGTGCTTTATTCATGTATTTATTACAAAGTATTAATCAAACCCATCAAAGTCATCATCCTCTGTTTCTGAATTAAACAGCTGCGTTAAATCAGACATGCCAATTTCCCCTTCTTCGCTGTCAGAGTCACTTTCCGTGCAGCGCGGCTCCTCAGAAATAATGCCGGCTTTTGCGAAAGCTCTAACAACAGTGCCAGCAGACATGTTAGTCCAAGCATCTACAATCCATCCGCAAACGGTGGCGTAACTTGCCCGGCGCTGCCTTCCACTTTTCCTGAAACTGTGTTCTCCGTTGGTCATCCATCGCTCCCACGCCGCTCGCAGCCTTACTTTGAACGGCCGGTTCACACCGATGTCGAGCGGTTGAATAACAGCGAGCACAGCATTCATTTGTTTCACCATGTTTTTCACATCAGCTGTGAGATGGGCACGCACGGAGTCACAGATTAACAGCGATGGTGATGAGTGGAAAAAAACCACCTGGTCTCCTTACATTCACCTCCCTCAGCCACTCTTTCATCATCTCCTCAATGAGGTGGTCTCAAAAGTCACAGTTACAACACACATAGGGCGTACCGCACCAAAGGGCGCACCGCACATTTTGAAGGGAAAAAAGGACGTTTATGTGCGCCTTATAGTCGTGAAAATACGGTAAATAAAATTCCTGTTGTTCCTGTTGAGAGGAAGGCTGTGTAGAGTTGATAAGAATTTGCAAATTGATAAGAATTTGCAAATTGGGCAATCCTGGGGGCTAGGAAATCTTAAAAAGGATGAAGCTTTACCTTTCAACCGTAAAATGATTCAAAATCCAGGGCGACCACAGAACAGTTTAGATAAAGCAAGCAGCGCTAGAGTTGATTCCTTCCTGCAATCATCTCAATTCTCATCACCATGCAGATGTCAAAACATTGCACCTGTTAAACCAGGCCAACAACGACCCTAACGACTCCTCATTACAGAGGCATGGGCCGGTTTTGGGTTAATTTTCAGGCCAACGACGACCTAAACTTCTCCCCATTACAAAGGGGTTGGCCTGTTTCAGTTCAATTTGCATGTTCTCTAGGTCATAACAAAGCTTTTGTTGGGCTACCCTATAAAACCTGGAACTCAACACTACTTCAGACATTTTGTATTGTTAGGTTTATTATTTATACATCATGTGCATTATTATTCTGTTAGCCAGATTAGACAGAGTAGAAGGCCTTCCTTCACATTGTGGATGTCACTGGGTGTACGGAGGTCATCTAATCAGGACAACCTTCGTGTCTTTAAGAATACACAGGATATGGGCACATCTTGGAGCCGGTCTGATAGAGGGGAGCTATCTGTAACCCTGAGACAGAGAAGCAAGCTGCATATGGGTCAGGGCATTGATGTCGTGTCAGTTTCTGATACGGACAGCTAAGCATCCACATGATTTAGCACATAGACTCATAAGGTATAAGAAGCAGGAGATGACCTTGTTCGAGGCTCAATTTTTGCCGGACGCTCGCGGACGTGATTTTTGAGCCCACAGCTGTGCAAGCTCCAAGCATTTTTCTCTGTCCTGTAACGACCTGATCTGGAATAAACTGTTAGTTTTTACTCCTGATTTATAGTTATTTTTATATGGTTTTACCCAGTTTGAGTTAAGAGTAGTAAATAACTTGCTCCCAGGAAAAGGACCGTGAGGAAGCCCCCGAGGCGCAACGGCTTTTTTAGGGGTCATTACATCCTCATTTTAATAGTATTGAGAAAGCTTTCTGGATGGGAAGTGAAACATCTTCAAACTTGGAAAAAAAAAAGTCCAGGGGTTTGTTTTTAACTTTTTTTGGAATAGATAAAGCAACTTCATTGGTTAGAATGGTGTATTTAAAATCCAAATTCAACGTAGAATCACAGTCTCTGCCCAAACTGGCTGAGTTTGAGCATTCTGGAAAAGACCAAACCTAAAAATACAGCAATTTTTCAGATTATTTTATACATATCCTGAAACTGATGTGCCATTTTCCTTCCATTTCACTGTTATCCATTACTTTATCTTGGCCTGCAACATAAAGTCCAAATAACATGACTTTGGGGGATGTTGTGACAAAATGACTATATCTCTCTTTCAGGTCATCAGTGACAAGGTTCCAGCTCAGACAGAGCCAGGTCTCTTAAAGCAATCTGAAGCTGTTTTCTCAAGAGACTGTGCTCCTAAGCTGGAGGAAAGTGAAAGAAAACCCAGAAAAGAAGAACTTGACTCCTCTTTTGATGTGACCGGTACATGTCCCCCAGCAACTCCTCACCGAAAGAAGACCCCTCAAGTGAATAAAGGCCCCAAATATGCTCAGAGAAAACAACTGACAAAAGCTGTCAGTTCAACAGAGAAAATTGATGTAGGGGTGAAAGATAAAAACAGAAAAAGTGTTGCTTGTAAAGATGAGACTGCACCAAGATATCCCCCAAAAGAGCCTCAACCAATACCAAAGCTGGATCCACGGAGTTTGCCTCGACACCGTACTGTTCTGCAATATGAGGTTTTAGACGATGACGTATCAAAACCCAGACCAAGAAAAACTGGGCCAAAATCAAACAAGTAGCAAACTGGGAGCTCCCTCAGAAAACCTTGTTTCTAAGAATTTCTGGGGAAATCTAGAATCTCAACTAGAAAGGTTTTTGAAGAAAAACTGATGACAGCCATGTTGCCCTTGATCCGCCACCTCTAGTCAACAATACACAATACCAGACTTAAGATTGAAGGATGCATATGTCTGTAATGCATACAAAGCAACACTCTAATTCAGGAATGTAGTAAGTTTATTTCCCATGACATTGCATATTATTATAGTGTTATGTTGACTGACAAGTCTGTACATATATGCCCTAAGACTAAATGTTTCACCTTAAAACATTCATTTTACTCGTTTCAAGAACTATAAAGAATAAAAAACAAAAAAAAACAAAGATTGCTTCTGCAAATTATTGACAGCTTGAATTCTCACACACTGCCTTAAAATGACAGATTTTTGATCTATTAAAAAGATCCTAAGATCCTGATAAATTGTTTCAACACTTTCTAACAAAACTGAAATGTAGCTAACTGTATTTTAAACAATTTAAACCAAACACATTTTTTGATGGATAAAAGGATAAATGCCAACTTTCCCTTGATAGTGGGCTGTCAGGAGCCAAACCAAAATATTTTCGAATCTGCAGAAATTCCTGACAAGTACTTGTGTTCCAAAAGAAGCTCCTGTATTATTTGTATTTCTGGATAAGAGGGATGAGTGTTTTCTTCCAAAGGAAACATCCAAGCTTGGTAGAACATGCTTGGTGCTGATGAAACCACATAAACAACGCTGCGCCTCATAGAAAGGACTATTCATCTGCTGTCAGACAAGATGGCGACACATTATGGGCTGGGGTTGCTTCTTTTTTTTTTTCAAGGTGAAAGCAATTATGAACAAGTCAGTTTTGATTAAAAGCCAAACCTGTCTTCTGGAAAACTGAAGCTAATCCAAATCCACCTGAATAAAGTGTACATTTAAACTCTCAAAACTGGATAAAACTGAAAATCTGTGAAATGTCGACTAAAAAAGGTGATGGAAATTATTTAAGAGACTTTTTGGCAAATAAGAAGCATTCTAAGACACTTTAACCAAGAAAAGATTAAATGCTGTTTTGAATCAAAAGTGGACAAGTGTTACATTATTTTAAATTTACATCATTGGGACATTTAAAATTCATTTTGATTTTAACAATGTATAACCAAGATTTTAATTGTTTTAGAATATTTATCATTGCCGTTTTTCTACACAAAATGTTTAAATAATAAACAAAGCTGTGCAAAAAAAACTTTATACTACTAAAGATTAGTTCCTCTAAAATACCTTTATATAAAAAAAAAGTTTTGTCTCTCTCTTCATACCACAGGCTCCTATTTTGAGGTTTTCCATGGTTGTTATGTTGTAAAGCAGGGGCGAAATGGAACGGAGTCCCCCTAATTTTATATATATATATATATATATATAGAGAGAATTTTTTTTTTTTTGCCCTGGGGTTATTAAAGTATTTCTGATTCTGATTCCTGGTGTTGTGAAAGAAACGGTGCCCAGCTTGAAAGAGCTCCTGTGTGGCTCCTCTCGATTATTATATTTAATCAAAAATTTTAACTGTAAATTTACAGTCATTTTATATATATACATTTTATATATATATATATATATATATATATATATATATATATATATATATATATATATATATATATATATATATATATATATATATATATATATATATATATATATATATATATATATATATATATGTGTGTGTGTGTGTATATATTTTTTTTCTTTCTTTTTTTTTTCAAGGCTGCACATTTAAAAAAGATGAAATTGTCCAGAGAGCTGTTCCAAACCAAATTTATTTTTGTAATACACTGGTGTAAGCAAAATTACAAAATCTGTCTAAGTGTGTTGCTGAATTGCACTGATGACTGAAAGACATCTTCTGCCTCCATTTATCCGTTTACTGCAATGTGTTTTAATATGTCTTTAAAGACATTTCAATTAGTGGGAAAAATTGCAGGGGGGAATATAAAAAAAAGTCAAATCAACCAAAACTTTTACAACCCCCAGGGGGTCACGGACCTCCTGTTGAAGACCTCCATTGTAAAGGGTTCCTTGGCAAAGGACTATATTTTGGTGTTATCTGCTGCGCAGCCGCACAGTGCTCAGGATATGCGTGTAGAAACAAAATAACCTCCACTGTATTGCCCCGTATGGGAAAGAATCATTCTGGCATATCTACATAAACCAAAACCCCCATAGCCCTCAAATTGAGTTTTCACAGTCCTGCAGTCCAAAAGAAGATTCTGCTGCAAAACAAAATAAAACAGCACAGCCAGGTAATAACCTTTTCATATTTAGATGTTTATATATTTCCTTATTATTTTGTAGACTTACCTTTTAAGTGCATGCCTAATATGGTTTAGGGTATATTTCTAAAAGTTTTATCGAACAGTTTGTTGGAAATTTGGCCAATTCCTCCAAACGGGTGGCCTTGCTTATACACAGCACTACCCATAAATCCAGTGCCTTATTATGGCCCTAAGCAATAATTTATAGTCATCTTTAGTTTGGAGGATCCATTCTGGCCTAGGCTTTGACTTCCTGTCAAATATTTTAAAATGATAATTAAATATTTCAACATTATTATCTCTGCAGACTGAACTGCAACAAACAATTAGGCCTGCAGAGAGGATTATCAGGGCTGAACTTCCTCATTTTCAAGACATGTACAGGTCTAGTGTCAGGAAACAGATAGCTAGATTCCTTGGACAGAGTGGAATCTGGGTCTTTCTGTTAATTTCATAGTCATTTCTTCTTCCTCACTGATCAGCCTTTCGTTTTATGTTTTTTATGCTTGGGAGTACCGTAATTGTTTGAACCAACATTTGTGCCTCCCATAGGTATATGGAAAATCTACCTACTAGCAACATAACATGTGGATATCCAAAATAAGAAGTATACATCTACTTATTCTATTATTTTGCAAATATAAAACAAATATGTATAAAACATTAAAATTTAGTAAGATGCCATTAAGGAAATGACTATTATATTATATTTATTTATATAGTTTGTGAAGGTATCTGGTTTGGAACTGTATAAATAGATGAAATTGAATGATGCATTGTTGATTTGAATCTGATCTGAAGTTGACAGTGGCATGCTTAGATTTAACCATGTTGCAATGGATTTAAACGAGACTGAATGGACTGCAAAAAAAATAGTATTTAACTCAGGGGGTGGAGCTAGATGGGGGGCCAGGGGTGGCCACCCCTACCATTTTTTCCCCCTCTAATGCAGATGGTTGCAGCAGTAAAACTCTCAAGTGAAATACTTAAAACATTTTAATTTTTTGTGGCTAATTACACACATAAAAACGCTCACATCAGAGATGATAAGTACAGAATTCATGCTCTTTTCAGAACTAGATTTTGTGTTCTATGGGGTAAAGAGAAAATTATGTGTCTCTCCAAGTCATCTAGGAGTCTTCAGTGAAATCAAAGATAAATAACAATTTTCATAAAAACTTATCAAATAATCAATTTATGTAGATATTAGTGCTTGTAAGTATCAATTTTATGCAGAATGGTTATTAATACTAGAAGGTAAGTAATGACAATAGAAAAGATTTATGCCTCAAAACTGAAAGAGTTTTATCCACAATACCTTTTATCTAGAAATGATGGATGTTGAAATATATGCATCTATTTATTAGCAAAGGCTTTATGAATGTATAGTTTGTCTTTATTTAGAAAATATGGATGTTTTGCTCATTGGTTTTCCTGTTGGAACAGTGTAGATTGACGCTGAGGTTCTGGTGTCTATCCGCTTCAGGCCATCCCTCATTGTACATTAGTTATTGCCTGGCCACCCTTATAAAAATGTTCTGGCTACGCCTCTGATTTAACTTACTGAAATTGTCTGTAAAATGAAAAACTGTGATGTTAGACATAGACAACTGAACTGCAATTAACTTGCTGTGAAGAAGGCATTTGTACAGCATTGTAGTGAGTTTGTTAATATTTTTTTTTCTTTTCTTTTTTTAACAGAGGAGATCCAATGGTTTTTCTGCAATCTTCTACAAAAAAGATGTTAATAATTTGGTAAGTTATTTTGAAAGTTTTTAGTGAACACATTTACTTTGAAAAGTACAGGAAGTCACGCTCTTAAGCTTCGATTGTAGCTTGTTAGCAGCGGTGTTTTCCTTTGTTAAGGGACGGACTTCCGTCTTTCAATGTTTGCTCCAAGTTTCTGGAATTTACCGTCTAGTGATATTTCCAGCTAGAAACCTCACTGGTACACAGACACGGTTGTCGCGTTGTTGGGGTTTTTTCGCATGAGGCAGGTGGACTAAAAGTCCAACAGTTTAGTCTGAACTGAAACTGTCACTGTTTTTAACGCCTCTTTAACTGAAGCTAGCTGGCTAGCATTAGCCAGCTGAGTTAAACCGCTTAGCATGTTTCGCTTCTTGAGTGACGCCGAGGACGATCCATTCATGATGTAAGTATTTGCTTTCGGTGCATATGGTCGGGACGATGTCATGTCTGTTTTTTCTGTGCATTATCAGCCTAGAAGAGCTACATTTCCAGCGCCCTGCAGAAGGTAGCCTGTCATTCGTTATTGTACCCAGCTGTGGTGGGGCCCTGTAGCGGTCCACCATATTGGATAGACAATAAAGCGAGAAAATAATTAAATAAATACACAAGAACTATCAGTTCCCAAAGGTATTGTATTAAAATTCCCGCTGCAGTGATTGCTGATCAATTTTATGTTTTCTGTTGCCTCCTCTGTAATCACCAAATCCGTTTGTGAGCCCAATGCAGCACATTTCTAGTATTTTCTAGGCTTTTCTTGCCCAGCATATTTACATCAACACGTCACACTGTGTTCGACAAAATATACGTAAAAATGGAAATATGCTAAGCATGCTGCCAAAATATCATTTCTGGAAAAACTAAATGTTGTTTATTATTGGTTTTAAAGCCTTGCATCAAAAGCAATATTTTTAAACTGCCCCGATGAGGCAGCAGAGCCATTATATCTGGATAGTTGATCTTAAGAATGTAAATAATGCAAATGAAATAGTTTTAAAATCTGATTATATGAGTCATTTGATTTAAATACATCCTACCATGTCTGATGGAGTATCATAAGCTTGAAGATGTGTCTAATCTCTAATGGTGATGCCACTGAGGCCCGAGGGCAGATGTCATGGAGAGGACGTGTGTAGTATTGATGGGTTTAAAGGCTTAAGGTAAAAAAAAACCGAAAGAATATTGGCTTATTTAATCATGCCATTACAGACCTTTCTTCCTTTATAGGGGTATGAGAGTTTCTGAGCAGCTGGTTGGCTAGTTTGTCCATGGGCATGGCTTGGTCCTTGGGTTCCTGAAATTTGAATAGTTTTGTCGTTATAGATTTGGAACATTCACAACAAGAATGTTATCTATTTATGCTATTTTATTAGTTTAGTAGCCTTCTTTGTTGTGTTAATTGTACTTGTCTAACCGTTGAACTCCTTTCTTTCAGGGATCCATTTGCTGCCCACAGACAGCAGATGAGGAGTATGTTTGGACCGTTCGCCATGGATCCATTTGCTCTTGCTCCCCAGATTCAGCCGCATCGTGCTGCACGCAGACAGGTAATGGGCTGTTCGGTCCATAATATTGTCTAATATCCAAATTGGTATTTGTCTTGTTTTATTTTGGGCTTAATTGGAAATTTCTTTCTAGGCGGGTCCCCTTGTTCCCTTTGGCATGATGGGAATGGTGAGCAGCTGATGTTTTTACTCTAATAATGCATTTTTTTAATAGCTTCATGTAAGTTATTGCTCTATTATAAAAAAGCTTTTTAAAGCTTCGGCTTTGCTAAAGTTATTCAGATATTTGGCCCCCTTTTTACGTCTATTTGAAATGCATTTCTTATTATTTTAACTTGATTTATATCTATATGTTTTTAGCACATTTGTGGTATTTTGTATACTAAAATTGGTCTTGCTTAAAAATGTAGAGTTCATTAGCTCCTGTTTTTTGTGAACCAGAAATGAACTCGTATATCAGAGCTGAAAAACATCAACTTGAGTTGACAGAATTATATTTTACTTGCTTAAGATATTAGTTCACTTAAAATGGATGTAGGGCTTGACAATATCACTATAACTTATATCACTATATATTTCTAAATTCAGTCCATACAATATAATTTCTGTATTTATATAAACAAAATAAAAGCCTCAGAGAGACTACTTAAGAATGTCCACAGCAGATGCCTGTACAAACGTATGACAAGTTTTCTTTGTAAAACTCATTCAATATAACATTTTAAAAATATTTGCCTATTAAGGATATAAAACCAGGAACGTCAGTCAATGACAAATGCTGTAATCATAGACTGGAATGTATATGAAATATTGGACATGTCCTGTCGCTGTTATTGAATAAAATTCTATGCAATGAATATTGATATTGAATTATTGTCCATTACTAATTGGAAGTAAGTTATTTGTTGACTATGCCGTAGTCGTTTTCTGCTAAGTAAGTCAGCTTTACATGTATTTTCCTACTGAAGCTTGCTGAAACCATATTTTTTCCAGAAAACTCAACATTCAAGGCTCTTCTCAATATTTGCAGGGAGGAGGATTCATGGACATGTTTGGCATGATGGGAGAAATGATGGGAAACATGGTAAGAAGCTCTGTCAAAGGGATAAACCACCCCTATGTCTAAACTACACAAGTTTTCATCATGTTTTTTAATAAGTTCTTCATTATGTTTCTTCTCATAGGAAAGAATGACTGGATCACCGAACTGTCAAACATTTTCGTCTTCAACAGTGATCTCGTATTCCTCCTCAGACCCGGGAGCTCCTAAAGTTTATCAGCAGACAAGTCAAACAAGAACAGGCCCTGGAGGGGTAAGAATATAATAAAATTTTTTGAGACGTTTATCAGGATTGGTGTTATATTACCATATTCACTTGGCTGAACAGTGGGCCTTGGTGTGTTTATTTAAGCATGGCCATCCCCTGGCTTCACTGACTTATTGAAAACCACTAACTGTACTGACAGTGAGCAGATCTAGAGCTGTATAAATGTGTGCTATAGTGGTTCATTGAGAGTGCAGTCCATAGGATTGTTTTGTAAACTCTTTCTTTTCACTGTTTCTCTCAGATCCGTGAGACACGGCAGTCAATGAGAGACAGTGAGAGCGGCCTGGAGCGTCTTGCCATAGGCCATCACATCGGGGAGCGAGCACACATACTGGAGCGCTCTCGAAATAGGCGCACTGGGGATCGAGAGGAACGGCAGGACTTCATTAACCTTGATGAGAGTGAGTATCAAAAGTTACTTCATAATACGGGCTTCTGTTTGACAGTTAGCAGTATGCTAGAACGGAAAACTCAACAAGGCAAACAAGTGTTAAAATAAGTATATGCAGTACTGCACTATTTTAAACCCGGCATCTTTATTAGGTGAGGCTGCAGCGTTTGATGAGGAATGGAGGAGGGAGGCAGGAAGGTATGGTCCCCACCATGGCCGTGCACTGGAGTATGGTCAGGATCCGCGTGGAGGAGGACAGCAGTTGGCCCTTCCTGCCCCTTCCAGCTCAACACCCCCCCATCGACATGAGTCTCCCCGACATCGCCAGCATCACACACGTCCCCGTTATGATTGGTGAGAAGGTAAGGTCAACCTAACTACGGTTTTATTCAGCCATTGAAATGGCTCTCAATATTTTCTGGTTATGAGCTGTCTATCTCAGGTGCATTTTTTTCTTGTTTTATATTTCAAGATGCATATTAGCCAGTATTATTAAATTCTGTTTTTGTTTTTCAAGCAATTTTAAAAGCCTTTAGGCTGTTGGTATTCTTGGAAAATAGTGTTCTATTTACACCTCTTTAGAGCTTTGTATAATTCATAGTGTCACGGGGTTTTTTACGCTCTGTTACAACTTATTTTACAGACTTATTCCTAAACTTTTATTTAAGAACACATTATCACATGAAGAGAGTATTTTTGATAAGATTTGTAATTTTTATTCCTAAAAAGTTGTTAATCCAGTGTTATTTTTTTTTAGTTTTGCAAAAAAAATTTGTTACATACAAGTCTACCTGTTTTTGGGTGTTTTCTCTTTTCCATCTACTAATCCACTGGAGCTCACTCAGGTTTAAAAAGCAGTTACTGTAGATCAACATCTATTTTAATACTTTTTCCAGATATAACCAGTTGGTTTGAAGCTACTTTTTTGTAGTCTTGGGTTTGTGTTTCAGTTCATTATCTTGTTGTCCTCATAGTTATGCATGTTTCCCTGCAACAGGAGGTTTCTCAGTTGTTATGGTTTCATCAGAGGTCAAAATGCGTTGTTAATATTCACGTTTCAATTTTGTAGAAAATGTTCAACTATAGAGCTAAGTGTAAGATTTCAGTATTTTTCTTTATAAATATAGCATTGTTGTGTTGTATCAGACATGTACCTATTTGTAGAGCTGCAGATTATTGGTACAAGTGCTTGTGAAAATGTTGAATAAATTAATCTGTGAGGTTAGACTTTTCATCCTGCTGTTGTTTATGTGGGAAAAGTACAAACGGAAATGATCTTCCTTTTTTTGCCCATGTTGACCAATAGCCATTTGTTTTCACTAAACACTTTGGAGACAAGAAATGTATGATAAACTGTATCATGATAACAAATGTCTAACATTTTGGTAAACTGGAAAAGGAGCCTTTGCAAATGGGGCTAGTTCATTTGGATATTGAATGAGATGGTATGTGGGAGAGAATTCCAGTTAAGGAATCTATGATTGCAGGAAACATTTTATTGGCTTTTGCTTTTGTGGCGTATTCACTTGGAAGGATTTTCAACTGGGCTTTGTTAAAATGCAAGACAAAGCAATGAAACTATTATCTTAGTAGTTTACATACTTGTGTTCAGAAATTGCTTTAATAAGATCTATATTTATTGAATAATTTAGCAATTTTATGACAAGCCCACAATAATAATGCTGATAATTTTTAGTCAGAAAAGCTGAAATGCCCCAATCATCCTTAAATCCATTACCAGTTTTAACATTCTGTTAATCAGTATGAAAATAGCTTTAAGGTTTGTTTCTATTAAAGGTCAAATATTGAGTATCTAAGCTTGAGTCTGGGTAATTATGGGACTGGATATTAAAAATGTATAGGAAGTAACCCTGATCTAATGTTATGTCTCCTTGGCGCTCTGTCTCTACAGGTGTACCACTTTGCAAGGAAGCAGATGGAAGGAACTGAGGGAGCGCTTCCCCCGAAGCTGTGAAACACACCGAAGACGGAGCTGCCCGTCATTAATGTTTGATATGACTGGACTGTCTAAACATGTGCAACATATTTTACACACAGGATCAACGAAATAAAACATTCTCAATGGCTACATTTACAGATCAATTTCTGTACTGTTACATAGAGCTATACGGACACCCCTGTGTAAATGTGGGTGAAACCACACTCACTTTATATATAAATATATACTCATTCTCAAAACTTGACATGTCTTTACCTACTGCACTTCGCTGCTGCAGTATTCAGTCATTCTGCTGTACAGTCCATTTTATGTTTGTGAGGGCACTAGTGTGTCTGTGAATTGTATACTGTTACCTGATTAATCTAACTAAATAAAAGTTCATTAAACATTGTTAGATAATTAACAATGTCTCTCTTGTGATATTTTGCTTTGCAAAGTTTTAAACGTATAAATCTGGTGACAGTTGTTAAAAGTGTCCCCCTTTTTTTTTTTCTTTTTTTTTTTAAAGGTTTCATTTGTGCTGCTTTGCAAAAGTGTTACAGATTCTTGAAGTTGCTCTTCTTTTTGTCACTTTGCTGCAGTGATAGACCAACACAGGTGGTCCAAGTATATCGGGATATGGAAGGAAAACTATGCACAAAAAAGAAATCTTGAAAGTGACGTCCAATTGTTTTATGCCACAATTACTCCATCCTTTGTAGAGCTACCTTCACTGAAATCACAGCAAGTGTTTTGTGGTATGAATATACTAGCTTTGCACATCTGTAAACTCAAGTGTTTTTAGTCCAATTTTTCAAAATGTATCAAACTCTGATTGGTTGACTGCCTCTAATTAAACCTAAGGTTTTAGAGAGCACCTATATCTGCAATAAAAATATATATTGGCGGACTTCATATTTTGGCTTCCGAAGGCAGATGGTTGCACTGTTTTTTTTTTTTTTTTTTATTTAGTAGTACCAAAATAAAGTGGTCAGACTAGAAATGCATGCAATGCAATTTTCTTAACTTTGCAATTAACTACTCTGATCATGTCAAATCTGTACATGTTAAATTTTGTTGTGATGCAAGAAAACCTTCAACAGAACATAGAGAAGTATAATTTTCTGTCAAAAATCTAGTACGGTGGGCTCGCATCCTGCCTCCTGCTGAGCTCTCTGTTTCTTTAACTACCTCTGTGGCTATTTTTAAACGTTCCTTGCAGCAGCTGCAGCTCCTGTCACCTGTCTACCTGTCTCCTTTCATCCGCGTTGTTACATCTCCAATGTTCCCTGACAACATGACCCACTTTGTGCACAGATCTGTCTTACAAGGTTTACTTTGTTGTGATGTCTGCTGCATGTCTTTAAGACGGCGATTTGTTTCCGATTTCTTTCCCTACTCATCCAGACTAGGATGTACCGTAGTCATTTCTGGACTTGACAGCAAGAAAAAAAAAAGCCTGTGTATTTGTTTGTTTTTCACGTCAGAAAATGTCCAGGGATGAAATAAAAGAGAATGTCTGTTAAATAAGACCATATCTTCATTGTAAATAAAATAAAAAATCCATGCAATTCCAGCCATACCATTCCGTCTTTCATCTCTCTCCTTGTATTGCAACCTCTTCCCATGACTCACTCCCCCCTCCCCCCTTCAAGTCATACGTTCTTGCCACTCGTCCTCCCAGCCTCTCATCCCTCTGACTCCCACTGTCATTTGCCGACTCACTCTATCCACAAGGATCAAACGCACAGCAGGTAATGTTAAAAAAGATTGATCTACTCTCATTCCCTTCAAGCATCTTCTTTCTGGTCTTTTTCATCCCCTCCTGCATGTTGTCTTATCTCCCCCTCTTATTAGACCATAATATCAGTCACCGACTGAGATAGCAGGTATATTGGACAGGCTTTAGAGCTGAAAGGAGTTGGCAGGTTTTTTTTTAAAAGGCATGCAGTATTGGCTTTAGATGTATGTTTCCAGCTCTAACTGCGTGTGAGAGTCTTCTCAGGGAGCCTAGTTTCCACAGCTTTTTCATCCATCAGGCTGCGTCACTGTAATCACAGTGTGAGTCCATGAGAGGAAGCGAATCTGAAGGCTCTTTATCGACTGGGCTGTAATGAAATGCATTTTAATCATCTTATTTTACTGCATTTTTTTTTCTCTCCTCTACTACCTGCCTCATGATGGTAGTTCTATCAGTATAAATCTTCTCCATGGACTTACCTTGTGATCTGCTATAAAAAGAATTTGAGGCTAACGCCTTATATTTTGCAGGATGTCTATTGAGAATATTGTTGCCAGGGAGATCCTCGATTCAAGAGGAAACCCAACAGTGGAAGTGGATCTACATACAGCCAAAGGTTCCAGAAAATACAGTAAAAATGCATACTGCCTCATGAGTCTTCACATCCTTTTAAAAACAACCTTTTCCCCTAATCTAGGTCTGTTCAGGGCAGCCGTGCCAAGCGGTGCGTCCACTGGCATCTATGAGGCACTGGAGCTCAGAGATGGAGACAAGACTCGCTACAAGGGCAAAGGTGACCCCTGACAGCATGCATCCCTCCTTTTCTGTGGTTGCTCTCTTTAAATCTTGATATTTATTTTTGTCTTCCAAGGTGTTACCAAGGCTGTTGGTCACATTAACGACACCCTGGGGCCTGCTCTCCTGCAGTCTGTGAGTATCAGCTGCTGAAAGAGCAGGAAGGGAAGCATGAAAAATCTGTTTACACTGTTTGTGACAGCCTGATTTCCTACCAGGGAATCAGTGTCCTGGAGCAGGAGAAGCTAGATAACATGATGATTGAAATGGATGGCACTGACAACAAATGTAAGCCTGCATTTCTTGTACGGAGATATTTGGACTGACATGCAGCTGCACCAGCCTGCATCAGCTGCATCCATGTGGGATGAGGCTTCTTCTGTGTTTCCTTACAGCCAAGTTTGGGGCCAATTCTATTCTGGGAGTATCTCTGGCTATATGCAAAGCTGGTGCTGCGGAGAAAGGCGTCCCCTTGTACCGTCACATCGCTGATCTGGCAGGAAATGGAGACCTTGTCCTCCCAGTTCCAGTGAGTGATTTATTTGCAAAATTATTATTTCATTCCATAGCCAAAAAAATAGTGTTTTTTTAGCCATTTTTGCGATCGGCTAAAATCAGTTTATGATTTTGTACATGATGGACAAGTCTCGAGTTAAGGTCAAGTTATATGGAAAAAATTTCAAGCTATTAGCAAGTCATAAGACAAGCTAAAATGTTAAAGGTGTGAGAAAATAAACTATGTGGATGGATTAAAAATTTACTGAAATTATTTTGCATGCAACATTTTTGTCTTTAATGAGAAAATCAAGTCATTTTAAGTAAATACATCAAAGCCCAAGGTAAATCACTCAAGTTAAAATTGAGTTGTAAGCCTTTTCTACCTCAAGTCATCAAATCATTGACTCGACTTTTGTTTTAACTTCTGATATACCCTTAAACCATAATAAAAAAAAATGCAAAAACCTAATTTTATCAGTAGATATAGAGGTAATTGTTTAATTTGTGTGAATCCAGATGTAAGATAACATTAGTGAACAAATGTCATCATGATGACTGTAAAGTTTATAAAATAATGTCCAGAATGTGTGTAATCTAACATGTGAAAACAGAGAATATGTCAAAGCTGCAAACTTTGCAGGAGATGGCTCCTTCCTAAACTTTCGGGTCATTGCTGCACTTTCTGTGGTCATTTCGATTCCACAAAGTTGATACGTCAATATAAGACAGCTAGAAGCAGCACCAGAAATCTAGCCTTTTTGGAAGCATGGATGGAAATCATTCAAATCTGTAAGCAAAACCCTAAAAGAACACATTTGAAGTTTTCCTAAAGCCAAGCAGAGGACTGAGCAAGCATGTGGGTGAGGGGGTTCCTGTCAGAGAAGACCAAACTTAAACTTTTTGGCTTACATGCAAAAAATCTGTGTCCGGTGGAATGTTAACCCTGAAATTACCCTCAACAGATGATCTTCAGAGTTACACAGGGGGGTGGCAGCATCATGGTGAGGGGATAGTTAGGTCTCAACAGAAAAGCTGGTGAGAAATGATGGGAATACAGAGATCTCTCAGTGCATTACTGGAAGAAATATTGTCTGGAGTTGTAAAGTATTGATACAGAAGTAAAGGTTCAGTTTCAGCAGAACAGTGCCAAAAAAATAAAAAATCAACTAGAACGGGGTAGATCAACCCATAAGTATGTGTCAAAATGTTAAAACTGCTTCCTGGTTCTTTTCTCTTGTAGGCTTTCAATGTTATCAATGGGGGCTCGCATGCTGGTAACAGACTGGCCATGCAGGAGTTCATGGTTCTGCCTGTCGGTGCGGACTCTTTCCGCGACGCCCTGAGGATGGGAGCAGAGCTTTACCAGACCCTGAGAAGCGTCATCAAGGAGAAGTACGGCCAAGATGCTACAAATGTGGGAGATGAAGGTGGATTTGCCCCAAATATTCAAGAGAACAGTGAAGGTGAGAGATGAACTAACCTGGAAATGATGTCCTACTTAAGATCATATTAACTGACATCTTTTTGTTGATTGCTGTCTGTCAGCCCTGGAGCTGATTAAGACAGCCATAGAGAAGGCAGGGTTTACAGACAGAGTGGTCATAGGGATGGATGTTGCCGCCTCTGAGTTTTTCAGTGAGGGTAAATATGACCTGGACTTCAAGTCTCCACCCAATGCTACCCGCAACATCAGCGCTGAGGAACTGGCCAGCATCTACCAAGGCTTTATAAACAACTACCCAGGTGTGTATCAAGTATTGCAGTGGCTTGTTCCTGCAGATATAGGAGCATCACACCAATGTGTATGGCATTATTAGGATTTAACATAGGAATATCCCACTGTGGCCTCCTTTTAAAACAGGATATTTGACTCCTATTCCCATTTCTTTCCTCAAGTTGTATCAATTGAAGACCCCTTTGACCAGGATGATTGGCCTGCTTGGTCGCAGTTTACAGCATCAGTTGGCATCCAGGTGAGATATGATGACAGTGTTTTTATGACGCAAATTGATTTTCACCACTCTGACGTTGTTGATTTAAAATGTTTTTTAAAAGAGTCCTTTTTTCAAACTTCTGCCTGAACCATACAAGTTTTTACAGAACTTTGTGTCTGATCAGATATAAACATCATATATCAATTATAGTGAATTTACCTGCTTTAAAATAAATACATTATTATTGCAGCATCACAATCACACACTGAAAATGTTTAGCAATCTTTAGTTTGAGGTCATTATGTCCAAAATTCCACATTAGGCAAGAGGATCACTTATTCTTTTTTTAAGGCAAAACATCAAACACACTGCTTCCAATTGTGATATCATGGGGAATATCAAAGAGATCACCCAAGATATTAGGAAGAAAATTTTTTAGAGTGAAGTACACTAAATTACTCCAGGATTAGTCAATACATTAAAGGATAACCTGCTCTGTTAGATCTACTCTAAATGACATATATTTTTTATAATACTTTCATCAGCAATTATGACCCAATAAGCAACCAAACACTGCACAGACCTACATATTTACAGCTGTACTAAGAGACTATATAAAACGGATAATTATATTTCTGAAAGAAGTGAACGTGGTTTTCAAATATGGTTGCCATAGAAAAACCTATTTCTTTCCATATTTTCTGGGACTTTTCTCTGCAGGTTGTTGGAGATGATCTGACTGTGACAAACCCCCGCAGGATACAACGAGCTGTGGAGGAAAAAGCCTGTAACTGTCTGCTTCTTAAAGTAAACCAGATTGGATCTGTGACTGAGGCGATCAAAGCGTATGTCATGTTCTGTTTGTATTCATGTCATGCAAAAATGTCATTTACATATGCCTACCATACACTAAGGTACATGGAAATGACAGCCAAGCTGTCTGCTTGCTTCTCAGGTGCAAACTGGCTCAGGAGAACGGCTGGGGGGTGATGGTGAGCCACCGCTCCGGTGAGACGGAGGACACTTTCATCGCTGACCTGGTGGTTGGTCTGTGCACCGGACAGGTAGTACACATTGATCATTTTACTTTACATACAATCTTTAAACTTTATTTTGTTTTCCATGGTCCAAAAAATTCATCCATTCATTTATCCACTAGTCCATCCTTCTCTCCTTCCATTAATTGTTTTTTGTTAAATGAAAAAAAGCCCATTATTGGTAAAACTTCTTTTCATAGCTCACCTCATTCTATCAAATATTAAACCTGAATATGACACCTATAAAAAATCATTAAATACAAAAATAATAAACTTCAAACCTTGAAGAGCAAAATTATTTTGGCAGAAAATGCACAACAATAGTTTTTTTTTGCCTTTTTTCAGATCAAAACTGGAGCTCCGTGTCGATCAGAGCGCCTGGCCAAATACAACCAGCTCATGAGGTGAGTTGTTGATATAATTTATTTATCAAGGCATATACTGTAATCTTCTCCGTTCATTTAAGGTGAGCTATTTTTATACTTCTCTTCCATCGTTTCATCCCTGCTGTCCTCTCTGCTTTCAGGATTGAGGAAGAGTTGGGTGTCCAGGCCCGCTTTGCTGGTCACAACTTCCGCAACCCCAGTGTCCTTTGAATGCCAGAGCCATCAGCAGTGGTGTAACATATAGCTAATGATTTTACAAAGTCACTAGCCTCAGTGGAGCCCCAAATATACAAAATCACTCAGAAACAAAGAGTTCAGAGAAAACATTGTGGCGATGTAAAATGAGCGAGGTCACACTTAGAGCGAGGTGGTCTCTTTAGTTTCTTGTTCTTCTCTGATCCCTTATATTATGTCCTTTTCACCCAGTCTTAAAATGTTTTGGTCGATTGTGCCCTGTTGTTTTGTCTCATTCATGTTTCAGTGCAACAGTTTACTGGTTGTAAAATAAATAAAGTAATCAGTATATAACGCTTAGATGTGCTTTCTTGACCAGACTTTCTGCTGTTGCTCCATGCGTCCAAGTCTTGAGTTGTTTAATGTTTTCTTTTTCATTTCTTTCCAAGGACCCACATCTTCTAATCTTTTAAAGTAGCCTTGATCCATATTATGTCAGGATTTCTAACAATCCTTAAAAGTTTTGTATTTGAACTTTGGCTTGTTTTTACTCATTTTTATTCCAGTACTTGATCATTTTCAGAGCAAGGTTGTTTTGTTTTTTTATATTCATTGTTAACCCAGTTTGATATTGAATATATCGAGAATAAAATAAATAATATACTTGCATAAATTAGTATTTAGAAAAAAATGCACAAAACAATCCTGTTTGTTCCTGTTTTTTCCTTGTGCTTAATTTTTTTAACTAATGAAAACATATTTTTATATCAGTTCAAGATATCCTGTAAAAAAACAAAAAGCAGTTTCTCAAACGAAGAGAAAAGCCTTAAAGCTACACAATGGTATGTAAAAAATAAATAAAATCATAATGTAACTGCACTATAAGATGCATTAAATTGACTTGACTTAAATAATTTGCAAACTTGTTGCCTCAAAAAATTATGTTTTTAAAACTTAACATTGGTTTTAATTTATAAGCTATTCAATGGAAAACGTTCCTGTAAACCAAACAAGGGGAGGCAAGACATGTTTGGAAAGCACTGATTTAAACTGACAGAGCTGCAGGCCTGTCTTGCCTCGGGTCAGTTTTCTTGATTCAATAATTGCATCCGTTGGAGAGTTCAAGGCTAAAACCAATGCTCACCATCTGTCATATTTACAAAAACTATAATATTCCTAGGATTTTATGGGAAATCATCAGGAGACTGAAGCAAAAGTGGAATATTTTCAGAAAAAAAAAACATCTTCAGCTAAACCCTCCTTGGATTAGAAACAATAACAATGGTCCAAACACACCAGCAAGTTCTACTCTGAATGGATAAAAAAAGAAAAAGAAAATTAATATTGTGGATTGATCTACTAAAAGTCTTAAATCTGACTGGGATGCCTTTTTTGTTACTAAAAACAGGCTGTTGATTCATGAAAGCCCTCAAAAATTGTGTTTTAAACATAATAAGCTTTATTAACCTTCATAATTGACTCAAAAGAGATTCAAAATGGTTTAAAAATAACAGATAAATCCTGAAGTGGGGGATATGTGCTGCTGGCTATATTTGCTGCTTCCCATTTGTCTCATAACTTGGCTCTGGAAATGAAATCCTTGTAAACACAGGCTAACTATAGTGCCAGTAAAATGTGAAATATTATATATTACTAGCACTATAAATAGTAGGTGACCATATTCAAATATGCAGATTATTCCTGCAGGGGACTGTAGGAATAAACAGCAATCTTGCAATCTTTTAATCTACATGTGACAGCAATGTTGAATTTCCAGAACTGGGTTGGTGAATACTGACTTTGCCACTTGTAATTATGAATTAGGCCTACTTTATTTCCTGTTTTTTTTTTTTTTTTTTTTTTGCTTTTTGCAAATTGTAACTTGGAAAACCATCTCTTAGTTTATGCATAATTGTAGATCAGAATAACCACCTACATTACTCTACGGTTTTTCAAGGAATTATCCACACTCCAACAAACAATACTGGTCCATTAATGGTTTATGGCACACAACAATGAGTTAGATGCGTTTATTTTGCTTACATATTCCCAGTTTTTAAATCCAGTTCAGCATATAAATACCATGAGCTGCCTTGTACGTGCAGCAAACACACCATAAGGTAGGTGGGCGTACAGTTCTGCCTAAACAGCATATATTTTTTTACGTTTATCCTATTTTTAAACAAAATGTATCACATTTAACGACACGAGCCTGCATTCGCTGTGAGTTCAAGGACCCACCAGCAGAGGGCGCGCAAGAGGAGTGGCCTCTGACGCTGTCGCACCTCCTCTGGCTTCTTGCTGCTGCCCGTGGCGATGATGAGGATGATGAAGGAAGGCTGGAGCCACGCAGGCGCACGACGCACAGTCTCCGGACGGGTTGCCAGGGTTACCACACAATAGGAGACGGGACAGGGGGCTGTGAGAAGGGGAGAGGAGAGGGAGTGAACGACAAGAGCAGGGAGGAGGTCTGCAGAGCCGCTTGACTGGACACACCGCTGCAACCTTCTCCCAGACAGACTCATTTAACTGTTTCCAAACGTGTCCAAATCTCCTTTGTTGATGCACTTATTCGTGAAAAGCACCAATGTGCACCTTTATCTTTTTAAACACAAGCATTCCATGCTTTTTTTTTTGTTTTTTCCTCTATGTGGTTTGCTGTGACTAATCCAAACGCTCCATATAGTAAAGGTGACTCTGGAGGGACTAGTCTAAGGAGACCCTCCCTCTGGATCCCCTCCCTATTCAGAGTTTTGGCCCTCACTCTGCGCCTCTCTTCCCTCCTCCTCTCTCCCCCCTTTCTCTCCCTATGCAAATCACGCCTTCACCACTCTCCCTTTCCCTCACCCGACGTTCATCCCTTCCTCTCTCACACTAAATATTTTGACTGTAAGGCTGGAGAGGGGGTACAAAAAAAGTGCAAGTCGTCTTGAAGAAAGAGGGGGGGGGGGAGAGAAGGGGGGTGCAAAATAGGAAAAAAAGGGGGGACCGAAAGGGGGTGGGGAAGAGGCATCAATTTGTACAGTCTGCAGTTGGCACCCCTGTTTTTTTTTCCTTGTTTTTTTTTTCTCCTGCAAGGAGTAGCAGGAGATTTGTTGAGCGTTATTGTTATGATCGGACCCCGCTGCAACATGAGCCAGCGCCAGGCTCTGCTGACAGACGCCTGGGCCCTGAGGTGCGCGTATCGGCGCGCAACATAAAGCAGAAAAAAACGGCAAAGTGGGAGACATCACTCGGCATTATAGGTAAGGAGAAAATGGATTCTTACACATTCCTGTGAGTAAGCCACGTTTTTTTCTCTCTCTCCATACCATTTTACCTACTCTTTGTGCGCACATCACCACCATCATCATCATCAATCTGCGTTGCTATATCTAATATTACGTCCCGGTGAATAAATGCCGCACGACGCGGTGCGTCTACATAGGGAGGAAAAATGGGGTCTGATGGGAGCCAAAGCAAATCGCCATTCCGATTTACCTTATTTTCTCCCCTTATGTCTTACATGTGCATCGCTTTGGAAAACAGCTTCAGCATAGACTGGAAAATCATGTATGTGCTGCTGAGACGCTTGCTTGGGCTCCAGTGGATAGTCTACAGCTTTGCTCATTTCCCTTTTGCATGTGTCTCAGTACCAATTTGCAGAAAGAAAAGGATCGTTGGTGATGTAAGCAGAGCTACTGCATGCTGCTGCTTTGCATCACACGCACGCAGAGAGGGGAGGCCAGTTTGTTGATGATGCATGTGCTGCGAGTGGTGGTGACACTGCTGGTGTTTGATGACTGGTCGACCACTGGCAGGCCAGCATAGATGCCACCTGTAACTGAGAAGCATTGTTCAGACCCCCTGCTGGTTGCAGATGCTGCTCCTTCTTCTGCGTTATGAATCAATTTAAAATAATACATGGGGAATCATGTATGTGCTGCTGAACACATGTATATTAGGGAATATTAGTGGGTATCACTGCTGCCTTGCAGCAAGAAGGTTGCAGGTTCGATTCCTGACCCAGGGTCTTTCTGCATTGAGTTTGCATGTTCTCCCTAAGCATGCGTGGGTTCTCTCCGGGTACTCCCGCTTCCTCCCACAGTCCAAAAAACATGACTTAGGTTAATTGGCTTCTCTAAATTCTCCTTAGGTGAGAGTGTGTGCGTGAATGTTTGTTTATCATGTTTGTCTCTGTGTCGCCCTGCGATTGAATGGCGACCTGTTCAGGGTGTACCCCGCCTCTCGACCGTAGACAGCCAGAGATAGGCACCAGCACCCCTCGCCACCCCGCTTGGGATAAAGCGTGTCAGAAAATGGATTGATTGTTTACACCTTACTAGTACCTGATTGGGCAACTTGCGCCTCCAGAATTGTCTTCAGCATCAAATCTATTTACCTGCAAATAAATTGACTGAACCAATGACTGCAGCTACTTTCATTGAGTAGCTGCAGACATTGGTCATTCAGACCTCCCATTAAACCTCATTAAAAATTAGCTCTATTTCTTTGCTATCTTGTGACTATGTAGTTCATGTATATACAGGAATGTATATGCCTGGTCAACTGCACCCTTTAAAATTAAACATACTCTTCACCGGGGTCAAGTGACCCTAAGTGTGGAGAGAATACCCAGACTCAAAGGTAGGATAATGTTTTCCACCATGTGGATAGAATCAGGCTGGGCCCCTTTTGTGATTAGGGCTGCCATAGTTATTTGTGGTAGAGTCAACAAGGTGTTATGAAATTCATTTGATACAATATTTAATCCTTATTGACTAAAGGTGTTTTCGCTCCAGATTTGATGGCTCCCTTTCCATCAGCTTCCATCAAATCCCAAAGGAGCTCCGTTGGTTTGACGTTCGGCGGCTGTGGAGGCCTTATATATCAGCTTGAGATGTTTTGAACTGTGTTACATATAGAATCAATCTTTGTGATACCTGTATGAAAATTGCTATACTGCAATCATAATGATATAAAAATAAAACTAAGATAAACATGAGAGACCTTAAGGTGTCTAAGAAAATACCAACCAACATCAAAACATCACCCTTACATTAGGTTGTTGGAATGAGTCTCAGAGATAGACTCTCTGTTGTCAAGGTGGTACCAGGTTGTCTCTCTTTTGCTGTTAGAAATATCTGTACTTTTTGTGTCATGGTTCAGAAGGTTGTTGAAACATTGCTTCATGACTTTTGTCCATATTGACCTAAGTGTGTCAAACATTTGCTGCAGATAAAACAACTTCACATCTCTAAAGAGTATTTAACCAAACTGGCTTGAAAAAGTGTTTGTTTGAGCTACCACTGCCTTTCTCTCTCCACAAGCCAAGGAACAATATCTGTCCAGCTCACTACCACATATTTTATACATTTTGTTTTGCAGACAATTCTCCATAAAAACACCAGAAATGTGGCTGTGATCGACAGTTCAGGTAGATCAACAGATTAAGAAAAAATCAGTACAGCCTGCCTGAAACCGACATCCCTTAACCTTCCTTTTTTCCTCATGCTGGTGATCAGTTTGAACCTCAACAAGTCACCTTTATTGCACCTAGACCTATTGCACCTAGCCATGTGATTGTGTTATAAGCAGTGTGTGCATATTTATAATAATTTCTAGTGTTTGTTTCTGATTTCATACTTGATACAACATCCTTTTCTCTAATTAATGTGTGGTAAAGCTGCTACATGACTCACCTACAATGTTCACACACTGTGCTGTTCTACTGTTCTTTCTTTTCTCTTACAACCCTATGCACTATTTTTATCCTCATTTAATATTCATGAGACATTTTTTTCATCATAGTGGCACACGAATGTATGAATTAGACCAACTCGATGAGTCCCTTCTGTTCACTATCAAGCAGAACCACATGGAAAAAAAAGAATCTTGACATTGTTCTTTTCTCTAATGGCTTGCTAAATAAATAAGCATGTGATTCTTCTGACCATAACCAGGTCATGTGGGTTAACCACAAGTAGCTGTGGGTTGTTATGGGAAAGGTGGAAGAAAGCGAGGGGGGGGAATGTGGCTCTTATTACCAGTATGTTTCCTACAGACTACATTCCAAAATGCCAATATCCCAGCTGTTCCAGATACATTTTGACATTTGAATTGGATGAACCTCGTGGGATTGTAGTTTTTTATTTATCCTCTACAAAAAGGGCAGCAAAGAGCTGTTGTGCCGATATAGTGTGCATCATGCAGGGGATTTAAATGCAGTTTTTCTGCCTACTGGCATTAAAAATGTCTCCAATTACTGAACTAATTTGTGAGTGCCTTACATCAGTGACTACAGCTTCCTTTTTTTAAATGCTTATTGAAAAATATAGTATTTTTAAGCAAGATTTCCATTCTGTCTGAACATGCCTTCTTTACTTCTTCTTTGCAGGTTTCTGTAGTTCCTGCAGCTGGTAAACAACTGGGACCAGTTTTGTTTCTGCAATGGCTTCTGTTGTAAAATGGACATAATAGAGGAAGAATAATGAAAACAAGGACACACAAAGAATCGGTATACACATGGCTTGCATTTCTTTTTATGCAGAATTGTTAGAACTTGCATACCTGTCTAATTTCTCAGCATTTATCTCACTATTTATAATTAGTCTAACACAGGATAATTTTCCCAAGACAAGTATTCTCTGTCTCTGTTGTTATTCATGCCCTTTCTCTTCTTTTCTTTATTTTTGCTATTACTACTGCTAACGTATACTACCCCCATTTCTTTTTTTTCCTTCTTTTTTTTTGGTTTAAAACAACTCCCTCACCTTTCCATGATACATATTTTCCTAATTAATTTCAATTATCCCCTCTTTCTAATTCTGTCTTTAATCCCATCCCGCCATGTTTTCTCCTTCCTATGGACTTTACAGATGCCCATGCGCAGTGGGCGAAGGAGGGGGGCAAGTGAAGAGAGAAGGGGTAGGCGCCCTCACACCAGCCCCACTCGTCCTGAGCGCACCGAACGGCAGACGGTTAGAGCTTATCTCTTTGTGCTTGTTGTTACCTCTCACTTTCTTGACTATAATAATTTGCATGCAGGCAAATGATAAAGTGTTTAAGCTAAAAACACAGCACCTGTGTTTTGATTTTAGTGTGCGTAAGTTTTTTGCATGGTTTCTACAGGCAGTCTTACAGTGATAGGAATTGTTTACCTTATTTCATGTCAGCACATTGAATCCTTTGAAGCTTTGTGTTTAGGACTGATGTTCTATATGTTTAAGCGCCTTCCGCAAAAGGCTTTGTTCTAGAAACAGATGTGAATCTCTAGTGGATTTAGGACAACAGAATTAAAAGTCTTGTATTGTTTTAGCAAAGAGGTGGTGGTGAGGAACTGGCTGGAAACCGCTTCAGTCGCAGATCACAAGGGCATGATTCATCAGAGAGTGAGGGGGAGGAACTTGTATCACCTCCAAAGAGACAGAAAGTTCAGGTTTGTTTTGCATTTCTTCAACTTCTCATATAAAGATCCATTTTAAAGCAGCCAGCTTCTTGCTATTTTAGACATAAATCAATTTCTGACTGCAACTATTATTCCCTCATTCTAAAGTTACCCCTTTTTTTCAATAGGATTCAGCGCCTAACCCAAATCCTCCAACATCAACACACTTGACTGAAAGCTCAACTCCTTCAAATGTTCCACCTCCAACTTCAGCTGCAAGCCAATCTCGAGAGAGTGATAATGAAGATCGCCAATCACAAGGCAGCAGAAGTTCAGCTGTAGGGAGCCTTGCCAATAGCAGTAGCAGCCTGAGCAGTGGGCGGGACATAGACCAGGACAATCGATCCTCATCTCCCAGTCTCTCTGCTTCCCCACTGGGTAGCCTGGACTCTGATTCTGATGGGCCCGATTCACCAAAGCAAGGAGAACGGGAGAAAGGTAAAGAGGCTGGGGCTGGGAAGGTGACTGGAGAGGATAGGAGAACATTACAAGAAGGGAGAGGCGAAGAGCCCTGTGGCGATGTCGAAAAACAAGACATAGAGACAATTGAAGATTCACCATCTTTGAAGCCCCCTTCCACTCCTTGCTCTTCCTCCAGCTTGACACCTTCTCTTCGTGGAGGGGATTCATCAAATGACAGCAACAGTGGGCGGAAATCTTATTTTTCACTGGACTCCAAATTGATGTGTAAAGAATATGGCACAGCAGGTGTTGAAGGCAGTAGAATGACTTCCAAAGCCAGCCCACAGTGTGTGAACAAGACAACTATCTCTGGAGGAGATTTTTCACATAACAGCCCCAACATTCCTCACTCGTTACCCCCTCCACTTCCTCCTCCACCTGCCCTGAAGCCATTGGAGCTTGGGGGACAAAACTTGCCGACTGAAGTTAAGACAGAAAGAGACAAAACTGAAAAAACAGAGAAACTCATGGACAAGGCTCAGTCCACCCCACCCTCTCTACTGCCACAATGCAGCCCGCAGCCCTTTTCCCAGTCTCAGCCTCAGAACCAGCCCTCCAGCCATCCTCACCACTACAGCTCAACCAGTTGGCAGGGCGGGGCAGCAACTGGTTGTCAGGGGAGCTGGGGCTACTCCCGTTATCCTGGGAGCCACCACCCACAACACCAGCCTCCTGTGCAACAGCAGCAACTTCCTTCTGTCTACAACCCACCATCTTCTCGCCACTCCTCCTCCCACCCCTCTTATCTCCCCCATTCTCACCCCCACCCCCACAGAGAGTACCTTCCCAGGTACACTGGAGGGGGAGGAGACAGAGAGAGGGGGCCCACAGGAGAGAGGGGAGTTAGGGGGGAGTGTGGTGGGAGAGAAATCAACAGAGAGTTTTCTGCACCTGTTGGCAGCAGCAATAACAATAATGGAGGGGGAAGTAATAATAATAATGGCTGTGCTGGATTGAGTGGGCCAAACACCATTCCAGCAAGGGAGTTTGGGGGAATGTCTGTAGGGCAAAATAGGGAGTACCAAGGTTCTGCAAGAGATGGACCTAACATTGGTCCAGATCGAAGAGACTTTGGTCCAGCGTTCAGGGACAGGGAGCGCGAAAGGGAAAGAGAAGGAGGAAGAGAGTTTAATCTGCCAAATCAAAACCAGAATAGAGACTTTGGCCCCACTGGAGCAGCAGGAGGGCATCCAAGAGACAAAGATGGCAACAGATGGGGGGAGTTTGGGAGCCAGACAAGGGAGGTTTTGGGTAACAGCAATCCTAACAGCAACTCCATACCACAGGGAAACCCCCAAAGCTCAGCCACTGGTCTATCAGTCACCCCTACTTTGAATCGTGATCCACCTGCCTCACCCCAAAACAACCCCAATCACCCCTCTCATTCCTCTCTTCCTTCACACCCCCATTCTCATCCCCCAAATTCATCAAACAGAGACTTCCCTCCTCCCATGGAACAGACACAAATGCCTTCAACTGGAACAGATCACTTCCACAGAGACTATCCTCCAGCTGGAGGAAAAGACTTTACAACTGCGGCACCTCCTTCTACTGGCACAAATCGAGAGTACTTAAGCTCCCCGGGAGTGACTCCAAACCTGGGACGAGAGTACCCAGGGACTGGAGGAACACAACACCCTCACCCATCTCACCCCCTCTACCAGCCTGGGCCCAAAGAGAGAGAGAGAGATTCAAATATGCGAGAATCTGCTCTGTACCAAAGCCGTGGAGGCCCTAATCAGCCGCCTGCACTCTCTCCTTCCTCCTCCTCCAGTCATCATGGACAGTACCCACATCCTCCTCCTCAGCCACCTGTACACCCCCCTCAATCCTCCCATTCCCAGCCACCCCAATCAAGTATGGGACCTAATGTACGTCCCTCACACTATCAGTCCTCTGCCCAAACTCCTCCAACTCCTCTGTCTCCATTACCTAGCCCATCTACCAATCAGATGGGAGCCTTCACATCCTTTCCTTCTGGTTCTTCCTCTGCACCCACTTCACAAATTCCTGTACCCGGTGTGCCATCCAGCTGTTCACCTGGATGCCGCCCTTCATCCTTCCATGGCGCTTTGAACAATCACCCTCAGTTTAGTGGCACATATCACTCCAATGGAAGCAATGGCAGCACCATGGCAAACAACAGTAGCAACAGTAGCACAGTCAGTAGTAGCAGCAACACTAACTCACAGGCCCTTTCACCTCAGAATGTCTCAAAGGCACAGCCAACTCTTAGTAATTCCACCACCAACAACAGCAATGTCCCAACACCTACCTTGAGCTCGACACATCATGGTGGAGAAGGAAATTTAGATACAGGCCTACCTCCAACACCTGTTATCAAAGAAGAGCCACCAGAGGACAGGGAAGAAAACGAAAGCCCTCCACCAGTATTAAGAAGTCCCTCACCTGAACCAAAACATGTGGATATTCCTATCCATGCCAGCCAATCAGCACGGTAAAGTCAAATTAAGATGCAGTGTATTGCAATAATATGAACAACATTTTATCACAGTATAACAACTAAATTCAATGTAATTATTTCAAACTGTTTACTGGATCAAAGCAGTGTATGGCATAGTTTTACAGTGGAAGGAATATATTCAGATTTTTGCTAATAAAAGCCTGAAATGGGGTGGCGGATTATCCTGATGTCTTTTGCCCCTGAGGGGGCAGCTCTGACCGAGTCAGACAGAAGAACATCAGTTTTCAATACTTCTGAGAAATTCTCAATTGGATTTTGTAAAACACAGGCTATACATGTAGAGTCTTTGACCTCCTGGGAGGGGAACTGCAGTCTCAGGTCATTAGCAGCTTCTAACAGGTTTTCTTACAGGATTATTCTTTGTTTAGCTCAGCAATTTTTCTCATCAGTATTCGCAAGCTTCCCTATTCCTGCTAAAGAAAACCAGCAGTCTTTCCACTCTGTAAAGTGTATAGCTAATAGTTTTCTTATCAACAGCTTCTCCCACCTGAAAGATGGCCTCTGCAGGCCATCTAGAGTTAACTGGGAAAAACTAAAGCTTTTCAGAGCTTAAGACGCATTTCTTAAAACCTAACTCTGCTTTAATTATTTCCATGGATAAAACTCAAATTAAGTATATTGAACTTTGTGTTTGTTAAGTGACATTTTTGTAATGTTTGTCAGTGTTTCTACATTCCTATGGTCATTCTTATCCCTGATAGTTATTAAAAAATGTGTCTTATGATTCTAGGTTTCACAAAGTCCTTGACCGAGGAAGCGGGAACTCCTGTGCCCGCAGTGATGTCCTCTTTGTCCCGTTAGATGGCTCCAAATTGTGGAAAAAGAGGAATGAAATGATTGAAAGAGCTCGCAGGGAAGTAGAGCAAAGGGCCAGAGATCTGAGAGAGAAAGAAAGAGAGAGAGAAAGAGAACGTGAGAGAGAACTGGATCGTCATTTACAGGTGTGCACAAAATATGGATGAAGATTAAACTGATATTTTTAATGGGAGGGAAGGAAATTAGGTCATTAACATATGATTTACTGTCCCTCCTGATTTTTGTTTGTTTTTTTTAGCACCAGAAAGACGTCAGCGCTGCTGGAGGGGGACGCCAGGGTTCCTCGCTCTTCTTCCCCCCATCATCCTCTATTATTCTCGACCCTTCCTCTTCTTCCGCTTCTTCCTCGGGCAACGTAGTAGCCCATCCTCCTTCTCACCCCCAGCACCACCCCTCACATCCACATGCACATCTTCCACCTGCACATCATCTCCACCCCTCTCTGTCGCATGCCATTCCCCACTCCCTCCTCTTACCCACCATGGGTGGAGCATCAGCAGTGGTTGGTGGCCCACAGGGGGCCCTAGGGATAGGTTTAGGAGGTCCGTATTTAGGACCTGACACACCAGCGCTTAGAACCCTGAGTGAATACGCACGCCCACATGCCATGTCTCCACTTGGAGCAGTAAGTCGTGCTCAGGGACACCACCCTCAAGTTCACCATGGTCACCCCCATGTCCACCCCTCATTCTTCCTCCCTCAAATACAAAATCATGCCTTGAGCCACCCGCACCACCTACCTGCTGATGCAGCAACAGCAGCTGCTATCTTGGGCTTTTTGTATGGTGGCAGCCTTGAAGGTGGCCCAGGTGTCCCCGGACACCCTGGAGTGGCAGGAGGCCCAGTTCCAGGAGGAATTGGGGGTGCAGGTTTAGGAGGCGTGGGTTTCCCTCATGCAATGGCCGCCCATCGAGATCGGCTAAAGCCTGGATTTGAATTTAAGAGTGATGAGCGTGTTTATCCAGCAGGATCCATACCCGATCCTGCAGCTCTTGCTCTGGCTCATTCACATTCACATGCGCACACGAATGCCCATGCACATGCTCACTCCCTGCTGCTTGCAGGAGGTGCGGCGGCAAATGAGGTATCACTCTATGGCACTCCACCTCCTCCAGCTCCACCTGGACCTCCACACCTTCAGAACCCCTCCCTGGCACAAGTAACCCGACCTCCTCCACCTCCTGCCCCACAGTCACTATCCAATCCCCCTCCTTCTTCTCTTCTTCCACCTTCTCTCCCCTCTCACCCTTCATCTACCCCGCTGGCCGCTCCTTCAGCCCCGGCACCCCCCTCTGCACCTCCACCGGCTCCTCCTCAACCTAATCCACCAACCTCTAGCTCGTCCTCACTACACCACCCAGTGCCCCACTCTTCTTTTCCTAACTCCCTGTCCTCTCATGTGCCACCACCTCCTGCCCCAGCTGCTCCACCCGAGACTTATCCAACTCCCACACGCTCCCCTGCCTCATACGAGCGTGACAGGAGCGGAGAGAGGGAACGGGAGAGGGAGCGGGACAGAGCTGCTTTGCCGGCCTTTGGGGACAGAGAGCGAGAAAGAGAGAGGGAGCGAGAGAGGGGAGGAAGTGGGGGAGGCGGAGGAGCAGGAGGGGGTAATGGAAACGGAGCAGGGGGAGGAAGAGAAGGAGAGAATCTGGGACGTCTTCAGATGTTGAACGTGACGCCTCATCATCACCAGCATTCACACATCCACTCACATCTACACCTGCACCAGCAAGACACAGGTACCAACTGCTATTACCAATGCTGTCATTGTCAGTCAGTTTATGCCAGTCCTCACAAACCACACATCTGTTACTAAAACAAAGTTAGAGTCAGAAACGTATTTAGAATAATTGTTTATTTGTGGGCAGAAATCAACAGCAATAAAAATATGCAGCAAGCAGAAATATTTCCAAGAGTCATAGCATGTTCTTACTTATTCAACGATTTAAATGACTGTCCAGAGCCTCCAGGAAAATATAAAATCCTAGTTGATGTATTTTACTGGTAATTTTTAAGGAAAAGGGACACTAAAGAAAATAAAACATCATTGCTTTTGAATCACCTTTTGTGAAATGCACATAAAAATCCCTTAAGAAAAAGACAGGTTTAGATTTTGTAACTTTTAAAATTGTATTTTTAAAAGTCATTAGAGACACCATGATAAGGTTGTCTTTTATGCTGAGAAATGGCTCTTTTAATTTTGGACTTTTAATTATTTTTTTACATTTTTTTTCCAGGTTGGAATGATCACTAGCAATACATCTTCAGTGATATTTTATAGCCAAGAATCAGGTACACCGGAAAACAAGAAAGACAAACACAGGCTTAATTATAGCATGTTGCACCTCAACATCTTGTTGGTTGATCTTGTTGGTAATCAACAAGATCCTTGCATTATGGTGGCAGGACATGGTAACTGGCTCTGAGGATTTTATATTTTTATTTCTAGCATGTATCATTAGTGTTTAATATGATAGAGATTGTAAAAAAAAGTTAGATCACCTAACTGTGAGTTTAAAGTAAAAACCTGATTTGAGGAGAAGGTAAAGTATGTGGAGTTCATCCCTCTACATATGTTTATGCACCGTTGCTGCTGGCAACAAAATTATTTTTCAGCATGATGCTGCCACCACCATGCTTGACAGAGGGCATAATCCTTTAATGAAACCCTCACCTTGAGTCTTGCAAACAAACTTTATCCTTCCTTGTCTTAATTAATCATAAAACTTTTCAGCTGAAAATTTCGGTCAAACTTTCACTTTAATATTTCTTGGTCAATGTTCTATTCAAACCCCTTATAGTTTGGGTCAGATTGGAGAAGTTTGGAATGTTGGGGCTAACAGTGGAGCTGATTTTAGAATATTCACATTTGCCATTAATTTAGTTGCTAACTGGTATTGGAATTATAGGCTGATAAAAATATTATTTCTCCTCATTTTATGGATTGAAACTTAATTTATTTGCAACTGGAAAATCTGATGTGCAAGTGCAAAGGAAATGCTTTGTTTGACTAGACATATTCCCGAACAAACATCAAAGCTTCTGAAACAGCCTCCCTGAAGATCTGACCTCAAACCTAATTAAAAGTATGAGTCAAAAAGTGGTTTTGTTTAAATATACCAGAAACTTTTTGATGGCTACAAAAAGGAGGTTGTTGAGGTGCAAGTTTCTCAAGAACATATAAGCAGACAGTGTGGATCAGTGTATATATTTAAGTGTATAACTGCATCCTGTGTTCACTGGGGAAAATCCACATTAAATTCAAACTAATCTCTTGTTTTTTTAATCATTAAAGATGATTGTTGTATTATCATTTCACCCTGAAGAAAGAATGGTTCAAACATGTCTTTGAATACCGAGCTAATTACCTTTGGCACCATGATAATTGGATTTAATCTACTGGATCTACACTTCAGTTAGGCTACAGTACCTTTAAGCAGAATAAAGTGTTCAATCATTCTGCTTATTAACCAATAAATGATTTGTGAAATAAAATCTGAAAAGAAATAGACTGAAAAATTACGATGATTAGAAAAAGCCTAGATCCTTATCTTCTTTTCTTCACATTTCTTGCAACCTTTTAACTAAACCAGCATTTCTTTGGGGGTTCATTTGACTGTGTTAAAGTTTATCTTTAATCATTTGGTGAAATTGACCTCACTATTTCCAAACTAAAGATGTTTAAATCCTCAAGTCACTCAGTCCTGAACTGTCAATAATATAAAGGCTTAATAACAGAAAATATGACGGAATTTATCTAGTATATGGATTTTTTTTGTTACCAACAGCCTGCCACAAAACTCGTTTTTACTGGTTTAAGTAACTGTATTAAAACTATTACTAATGACTTTAAATAGTATTTTACCCACAAAAATGTGATTTACATAGTTATTAAGTAAAATCTTAGTATACAGTAGAGGATCAGCCAAAGATATCAGATTTATCAGATGATGTGGAGTGATGAAAAACATTTAATCAGCAGTGTTTATCTTAATTGAGCAAGATTATTTAACACCTTTGTTTTTTTTTAGTTTGTATTCTAAAAATATCAAACCGTTTTTCCTTCGCTAGTTTGTTGATGTTGCTTTTATGGTGAGTTTTTCGAGGGGGTTCATGGTGGGATTGGTTTGAGGATTGGCTATATTATTATTACTAATGTAACATACTATGTAATATGGTTGAATGTTTATTTTACTAATTATATTCATAATATTTTATTACCTTAATCCTTGTGTATTTATGTTTCCTGAATGCACATTGAAGATCCTGCTTTGACTCACTTTAAGTATGTCCTGTATTTCTTATTACATTACTGGCATCCAGCGGCGGGCGGGGTTCACCCCCTGATGGACCCGTTGGCGTCGGGGTCTCCTTTGGCTCGCCTTCCATACCCAGGAGCAACGCTAGGCACCCCCATCCTGGCTCACCCCCTCACTGACAGCGAGGTGCTTCGCCAACAGCTGTTCGGTGAGGAGAAGGCTCCTCGTCCATGTACTCGTTCAGTTTTCTTCTCTAAAAACAACACAGTGCTGATACTTTTATAAAGACGCTGTTTTTTGTCTTGATGTTGACGGCTCACCCTCTTTGTCCTCCTCCTTGTGTTGATGACAGGTGCTCCTTTCCGTGACTTGCCCCAGCCTTCCTCCCTCACTGGTCCCATGTCAGCGGCCCATCAGCTCCAGGCCATGCAGCAGGCCCAGAGCGCAGAGCTGCAGATCCAGAGACTGGCCCTGGAACAGCAGTGGATCCATCACCATCATCACCACTCCCTCACACAGGACGAGTACTACAGGTGCAGAGGCTTTGTGTCCTGCAGCTATGATGCAAAAAGCTTAAACATTTACAGATAAAAATAGTATTGCATTACATATTTTACTGATTAAAATCTAAATAAAAAAATATGGTTGAATTTTTTTTTTAACCTCCCTGAATCAATAAACCCCAACTGCCAGACTTTTAGGGCATGTCTCTACCAGATTTGCATGTCAAACTTGTCCTGGTAGTCAGACCAGATTGGATGGAGGGGATCTATGAATATTATTTTCAAAGATTCTTACTTTGATTTATACTTAGACCGTGCTACCATATTCACACATTTTAATGGTAAGCCTTCCTTTTTAATTCTGGCTGTACGTTTAAAGTTGTTGACCTGCTGGTCGATGAACAGAAACACCTGTAGAAGTCTCAAGTCCTTTGCAGTTTCTAACATTTTGTCTTCCAAACTCACTGTGTTTCTATCACCATCCATTCCACCATCAGCTCTTACCAGCTACCATTCCCACACTACAGTATTTGATAAAACAATTTTTAAACAAGTGGTGTGTGTTCCATGTGGTTTCCACTACATCTAGTGCTTTGCATGTTTACCAAAATACTCAGTTTGCGTCTTTTTTGACCAAAGAGGAGCAGCTTCTTGTACATGTTTGCTTTATGCCTTCCATGGCTTTAGGCAAACTGCAAATGAGACTTCTGATGCCTTTTACAGCCACTGCATTCCTCTTGCCTCTCTTCACTAAAAAGCAGATTTACTGAGTGCACACTTGAAAGACAGATTGGCATCTCTGCAGCTCCTCTCGAGTTACTAGGTTGCCAATTGAATTACTTATCTCTTTGACTGACCTTTCCTTTATACTGGACAGCATTTTTGATTTCCCTCTTCTTCAAAGGTACATTGTACTTTGTGATGTTATGTCACAAAAAAACAACAAGCAATTACATTTAAGTTAGTGGCTTAAACATTACAAAATGTTGAAATATCTAGGAGACATAATTGCACATAGGACAATCTTACGTAAACTTATCACCAGAATGACTGACTATTAGGGGGACCAATTATTTAGATGATCCACCCGGAAAAGGAAAATCCTCCACTATACCTTTAAAGAAGGACAAACAATTTGCTAGTAGTAACTATTTTTCAAGTTATAAGTTGTCTTTCTTTTAAACAGTGATGTAACATTTGTGCTCTGAACTGGTTTGATGTAGCTAGACTAAGAACAAAATTACTGTAGATTGAAACGGTTGTTTAGACCAGGTTTTCTTAACCCTGGTCCTTGGGGCCCTCTGTCCTACAGGTTTTAGGTGTTTCTTTGTTGATTAACATGCTTCTGCAACATAGACCCCTGCTTTATGCTGTGGGACTCATTTTCCTGCAGGATTGTTATTGCAAAATCTGGAAAAACAGATTTTCTTACGTACATGTCCTCTAAGGCCATTACTGAACATCACCCATAGTAAGTCCATCCAAAGAGGCTAACTTGTCTACCAGTGTTTGGTTTACCTCTAACCTGGTACCCACAGATTTCTTTTTTTTATTAATTTATTAAAAACTGATTAAAATTTTTTTGTTTTTGTTTTTACATTTCTCTGTGAGATTTCACTCATCGAGTTAAGGGTGCTTTCAAACACTTTACTTGTAATCTATCGATGAGCATTAGGAGCCAAATGTAACCATGCTGACCTTCATATTAATGTGAAAATAACATGATTTCTTCTTTTTCTTCTTTTTATCTTTCAGTCACCTGAAGAAAGAAAGTGACAAGACCCTGTGAGGGAGGGGGGGACATGATGAAAAGCTGCTCGGGCAAGAAGACGACAATAAACATGTGAATCTGTGCTAGAACAGACTGAAGAAAGAAAAAAGAAAAGCACTGAAAACAAAGAGGGAACTTATTAAACTAAAGTCAGACTGAAAGGCAGGGAACGAAGTGCTGCAAATGGGAACATTTTAAAGGATTAACAAAAGAAGGAGGTGCAAAGACGATGCACGTTGTCCCTGCAAACCACACCGGACTCCCAGTGTTCCCCTGTATTAATCTTGTTTTGTATTGTGCTCTGTACAGTATACTAGGTGGGAGGGGTGAGGATTGTGAAGTACAGTATGTTGTAAAATACTTGATGCCAGGAGGAATGAGTCTCTTTTATTTCATTGCATGTAGCTAGGCGCTTCTTCTGAACTGGTGGAAGTTTTGGTTCTCTTTTTAGTAAATCCTCCCCTCTTTTGTACCAGAGGGACACTCGATATGCATGAGACCAGCAATTTAGTGTTTCTGTTCATGATGATAGTATTGTTATTATGATTAATGTTGTCTGTTTGTTGATAATGATATAATTATATATACAACACATATTATTTGTATTATTTTTTTACATTTTCATGGTATGGCAGTTGGTTTTTATTTTTTATTTTCAATTTACCTTGTGAAACAAGATGCAAATGAAGGCAAAAAAAAAAGAAGAAAATAATCTGGGAATAAATTATAATCTCTTTTTTTGCTAGTTTCCTGAGTGTTTGTGTGTGTGTTTCACATACATTCAGACTTTTCGCCCTGCCTTTTGTTTTATACAAGTCACTCGTGCACAAAGCATATCAAATTCCTCCCACCCCCCTGCCCCAACCCCCCTCTGCACCAGCCTCTCCCTCCCTCTCTCGGGTGAGTGAGGCTAATAGGAGACACATGGGATGAGCGTGAGACATGGGAGGTGAGTTGCTCCAGTGAACAGCAGCAGCAACCCTGTAGAGCGAGCATTCCTGACTGAACTGTAAAGGAAAAAAAGAGAGAAAAGAGTAAAATCTGGAGAGAAGGACAAAGAAGGGAGAAGCTGAAAGGAATGATTTACTGAAGCTGCTGAAGGCTCAGGGTTATGTGTGCATGCTCTCACCGACCAGAGAAACGGATCAGTTGCTGCAGCCTTCACTGCCACCTCACAGATCACGTTTATTGATATCTCCCAGAACAAAAGAATCTGCAGCTCTCTTCCTTTCACGCAGCCTTCCTACTTCTTTAACAGTGGGGTTTGTGTCATTTCAAGTCACCTTGAAGAAGTGTGTCAACATATGTAATGAGTCTTCCTGCAGGACACATCTCATTTTTTTCCCCCTCTGGTAAAATCACATCTGGGGTTTTATTCTTAGCACATCATTATTTTCCTAAATCCAGGACATATGTAAAGTGTAGGCCAAATATGCTGAATGGTTTTAAACACAAAACTTGTTTATATTTTTTAATTCATTATTGTCAAAGGTCTCTATTTTCTGTTTTAATTTTTCAAGCCATCTTCTTTATTTTGTTTTTCTTTCTTTTCCATTTTGGACTTTGGTCCTGGACCTGCATCCATATAGTTAATCTCTTCTATATAAAGCTGAACGTATCCCAACGGTGCTGGTGGGAGAATTATACTGCAGGGCTGTTTCTCTTCAGTAGAAACAGAGAGGCTGGTCAGATTTGATAAAAACATGAATGGGAAGTTTAATATACTAGAATAAAACCTATTAGAGGCTAAAAAGACTTAAAACTTTGGAGAATGAACAATTTCAGACAGGAAAAAATGACCCAAAGGTACAGGTAGTAAAAGCTGACCTAAAAATACACTATCATGTCTTTGATAAGACAGTTAAAGGTCAAACTTGAATCTAAAATAGAATCTACGTCAGTGTCTGAAAACTGCTGTTCTGTCAGGTTTGTAAGCGTTAGTTCAGGGCCCAAATGCAAAGATGAGGAGGCAGAAATTAGTTTTGCTGATTTAATAAAAAAGACAACAGCAACAATATCCAAGAACCCAAAAACAGGGAATAAAAACAAACAGGAGACATCAGGGAAAACACACTTGAGGAGCCAAGTAGCAACAAGAAATGAGGAAACAGTAACTGAAGAGAGGGAGTATATATGGTGGACAGATCAAAGAATGGACCAATCAGCTGATATGGAGCAGGGGTGGATAGAAGTAACTAGAAGGGAGCTTGGGGAAAGGAACAAGGTACAAGGGGGCAGCAGAGAGTAACTCAGAAATTTAACAAACACCATTCAGGCATGCTTTTTACTCTGTCATTTATACAAAATTTGAATTTCCTTCTTGATAAAATAGTTATCAATTTTAATTCCTTTTGTCCATCATTCCAGGTTGCCGGGGTGCAGAATTTAAAAGTCTTTTTTCCCAGTTCAGTTCTGACTCTTGGAACCTGCATCAAGATGATTTCCGAGAACAAAAACTGTGTTGATTAAATTTTTCTATGCATATTCCCGCATAGATACGTAGGCTAAAGTCCAAAAATAGCTTTGTGGATAAAAGCCAGCACATCGGAGAGCTTACTAGAATACAGGAATGGAGAATGTGCAGTTGAATGTAATGAGCAATGATGTGCACTAAGGCTGCAACCAGTGACATATACTATGTATTTAAAAGCAGAGGTAAGCATTAAAAGCATCCATAGTCCTTCTTCTAGGTAAAATGTATATATATATATATAAATATAAACTTGAATGTTTTTACATTTTGACATTTCACAAACCAAAAACTAATTTATTTGTTAAAGTGGCTCTGGAGCTGCATGTGTCCTTTTGGAGCATCTACAAATGCCCTTAATAGTGACTAAACATAATAAACATTCATTCTTTTACAATCTAAAAATACAAATAAACTGTAGGTCATTTAAAATGGCAACAGATTTCCCACAGCGTATATTTAACAAAAATAATGTGCGTTTTATTGGAGGGTGATGTGACTCTTAACAAGTATTATTTGCTGGATTTGGAGAGAATGGCTCTATGGATTTTAAAGGTCGCAGATCCTTCCATTAGACAATGGCTTTAGCTTGTCAGCTCAGGCACACTTGGGTCACTCAGGAGAACAATTATTAGAAGGACCCCAGCAAAACAACCCTTAGACGACTAAATTAATATCAAGGGTTTGAAGTAGGCTTACAGGAGTATAGACTTTTATCTAGCAGTGGGCAAAGTGGGCAGTAACTCAGTAAGAGTAGCGCTGCTTCAATACAATTTTATTCAAGTGGACAATAGTCATTTAAACAACTACTCAAGCTAAGGTTAAAAAAGTATTTGAAGACTAATTAAATATTTCTTAAATCACATTAAATAGGACTTGATTAGTACCGTTTAATCCCATATATTTTATTAAAATAATTGAATCATGCAGATAAATATAAAATCCTGTGTAGTTTCTGATACCTAAAAATGACAAGATAAATAAAAACAGAAGAAACACACTTTTTCTAACTAGTTTTTCCATCACAGAAAAAATTCCTACTTAAGTTTACAGTTAGTATAAATCTTAGAGTAAAATAAATTGAGCCTAGGCGGGAGTTAAACTGAAGAAACTCGTTGCTTTTCATACATCCACCTGAGAAACTACCCTATTCTCTGCTCCTGTTCATGCATCATATTGATATCTGTTCATTCATATCTATCAAAATCAAGTGCTATCTTTCCTGCCGAGGTCTGAGCGCCAAAGACAAAGTTATTGTATCAATAAATTTCTCCTAATTGTCTTTTCTCTTTGAGTTTTTCAGATTGAAGTGACAATATCTACTGTTTACTGTATATTCACTTGACCTCGAAATGACACAATGGAGAACAAAACAACACAAAACCAGTGAAGCCTGTTTTACACCAAGGCCAACCAGACAGATTTGTGTGCTTTTAGTTAAAATGTGTTTGTTTTCCAAATAGTGGTTACTAGAAATGGGTGACCAGCTTAGTATTACTTTAATTTAATGTTACTCTATTAGAAGGAAAAGGTTTAAAGCAGTTAAACAGGTGTATTTCTTTCTCTTTTTTTCAAAATTAAAAGGCATAAATCAAACATATAACTAGTTCCTGCCCTCCTCTGCTTATATCTTATAACGGTGAGGTGTGATCTGGAAACCAGCTTTTAAAATGTAATTTAGTGCCAGTTATAACAAATGCTTGAGGACAGTTGCAGGCAGCAACAAGTTACCTAGTTTAGTTTGTTTTACATATGCACATAGAGCAAAATTGGCTTTGAAAGATATTGACACATAAATAAATAAAAATAATGTTAGGCTTTATTTTTTTATATCATGTGATCTTTGAAACTAAGGTTTTAATTTTAACAAAAAGAGAGAAAATAAGGTTTTTTTCCCCATGCAGACTGAGAACATTATCAGTGGGAAAACGAATCCACTCTTGGACAGAGATTACATGCACGCTGCCAAATGCATCGGAATGATGGATTATTATGAATGAAAGGATGCATCTGCCCTCTACTGGGCAAACGTGGGATTTTTACTCTGCAGCAAAAAGCAGAAAAACATTCAGTCAGAGAATTTAAGTTTTATTCTTACATGAAATGTGAACAAGACATTAAGTAAAAAGATTTATTCTTGCACATATTAATGTACACAAGTTGTCCAAGAATTTTCAACACTACATACAGTAAATCACATTTCAAATGTATGATCAATGCATAAGCGGATTTGTAATAATTACAGTATAACTAAGCCACCAGGGAATGAGTGTGGAGCTCATTCTTGTATATTTTCCCTCTTGTGGACGCTCCTTACATGCCTGCCAAGAGACTCCATCCATTTAAAGGACTTGCCACAGAAAGCACATATGTAGCGTTTCCCCTCGGTGTGAATGGTCTGGTGTCTGTTCAGGGCGCTTGTGGTGATGAAGGTCTTCCTGCAGATGTCGCACATGTAGGGCCTCTCTCCCGTGTGGGTCCTGATGTGTGCTGCCAGGTGGGAGCAGTTGCTGAAGCGCTTCTCGCACACGGAGCAGATGTAGGGTCTGTCTCTGCTCTCCTCTCCGCTGCTGCTCCCTCCGCCGCCGTTGTTGTTGCTGCTGGCGAACTGCTGCTGGAAATGCAAGGCTTGGTCGTGGATGCTGGTCAGCATGCCGGTGTGGGGGGAGATGAACTCCTGTACATGTGGTTCCGGGTCTTCTTGGTTCTCTGTGGGGTCGTGGACCATCCAGAAGTGCCTCTTCGTTGCCTCTTCTTGCTCGTCTTTGACCTGCGAGGTCTCCGGGTGCTCCTGGTCGGCGCAGTCAAGCTCATCCTCCTCCTCCTCCTCCTCCCCCTGCGGGTGCTCCTCCTCATGCGGAGCAGCCATTGCAGGGGATGACTGATGTGGCTGGACAGAAGGAGACCCAGAAGGAGAAGGGGAAGCAGAGGGAGGGGGAGGAGAATGCAGCTGCTCGGTTTCTAGATATTGTTCCGAATCAGGATCGACTAAAAGAAAACAACATATTTAATTTAGAGTAAATCTGACACCAGTATGCAGGGTGCATGGATTCCCTACAAACCTACCCGACTTTTGGAGCTTCAGCTGCATCTTGAGCTGCTGGATTTCTGAATCTTTGGAGCGTAAAAGCTCCTCCTGGTACACGATTATTGTCTTTTCCACCGCTCCTAATATCTCCTCGGCCACGGCGTTCAGTCTCTCGTTAAGGAAAACTCTCAGGTGCAGCATTTTTTTGGGGGAGAGGGTTAGCCTGAAAAAAATAAAACTACACGAG